ACCAGTCAACACAGCGTTCCCCGACGACACCACGAGCCCGGTGGAGAACCAAGGCTCCACAGGACCTGTGCTGGATGGTGTACCGCTCAGGACCTTGACGCCCCCCACCTACGAAGGAGACGGCGACCCGGCCCCGCTGGAACCGGTGAAGACATCCAACCCGATCGAGATGATGAGCCCGTGCTCGATGGCGTTCTCTCGCCGCGCTAGGACCCACCGAGCCCTCCGGTGCACCGGAGATGAGTCTGGTCGTCTTCTACGCTCTTCAGCTCACACCGGAGGGCCCGGACGGTGACCTGCAGCGACTGCGAAACTACAAGGATACGCGGTCGGCCCTGGCTCCCAGACTGCCACGGGCTGTCGTCCTCGGCTGAGGAGCTGATGGAGCATTGTTTGCTCTCCAGGGCCTCCTACACATCAAGGCGGCAGTTGAACCGGATTGGATCACGTTGGAGTGCGCTCGTGTCAACAGCTGGGGCCAGAGAATCCACCTTGTGCGCTCACCCCTTTCAGGCGAGCGGTGCATGCACACACTGGCGGAGGTGCGACCGGAGGTCCTCATCGGCAACGCTTGCCGCCGATACCACGCCTACGGCCAGGGAGAGACCGCCGCGCGCCAAGCGACGCAAATCGCTGAGACCTTCACCGCTTCTCGAGCGCAATTCCTGCTCATGGAGTGCCCCGCGGGGTTCTCGCGGTCTGGCGCGACCGCCTGCGACCATGCTTGGAGCTGGCCCGGTGCACCGTGGAGGATGCCACCCTGTATGCTACGGATGTTGGCGTCCCCACCGGGAAGCACCGAGTCTTCGTCGTGGCCATTAAGTGGCAGCCCGGCGTGATCACCGATACCTACGCGGCGAAGCTGGGCCTCTGGAAGCTACGTCTACAGCAGAGGGTAGCCACAAGCCGACCGTTGGTGAGCTACTGGGACGCCAGGGCCACTTCTTTCTGAAGCGCCCTCCCGGCCACAAAAGAGCCTTCAGCTTCGCGCAACCTACCGTCACCATCACGCACGGGATCATCATGGATCGCCGACCGGCGGAGCACCAGCCCTACCCCGCCGACGACGGACCCCTCGCCGACGCACAGGACCTGTCACAGGAGGAGTTTGTGCACTCACCACGTCCCAGACAGTCGTCGACGTTCCGCCAAGCGTGCGACCGGTCGATGCCGCACGGACGCTCGAGGAGTTCGCCCTGCCCCCCATGCTACGGGAAGCCTTTAGCGCACTGGGCATCCACGGCATCGTCAACCGGAACGCCGACCAGCGTGACAGCATGGACGGCGAGTTGGCGATCGCGCTGGCCAGTGTGGACATGCCCCACCGACGACATCGCCACCGTTGACGCTGCGATCGTCGACAAGCCACGCTTCGTCGTGATCCCTTGGGTCACGAGGGGTGTGTCCCGCCGAGCCGCGCGGCCGACACCGACACCCACCGCCGCACCGGCACCCCGGGAGACGGCGAGCACTGGCGAACGCCGCGGCCGCGGCCGCCCCCGTGAGAATGAGCCTACGCGCCGGCCACCATCGGCCCCACATGCCATGGAACCAGGTGCAGAGGAACCCTTGGACCAGAGCCCCAACGCTGCCGCCGCACCCACCTTAGGACCGGCACCGCCACCGGCGCTGGAGCCGATACCGGACGCGGACGCCGGCCCCGCACCAGCGGCCACCGCGTCGCCGCCGTCGCCACCACCCCCGGCACCAACGGCGCCGCAAGAGACCCTCTTGGACGACAACACCCCACTGGACACACCGGAGCTACGACAAGGTCTCCACCAAGCTGGCGCAGATGGAGGACACCTTGTGCAACGCCGCGCGACTTGTGGAGGCCCAGCAACGAGACCCGACACTTCGACGTCTCCGAGCCGACTTGGGAGCGGGACAAGGAGAGGACGACGACTACATCCTAGCCAATGACAACCTGCTGTGGCACGCTCCGCGTGACCGCGCGTACGCAATTGCGGTTCCCAAAGAGTTGGTGCCCACCGTGCTGGCGCTGGTCCATGGTACGTACGGCCATCCTGGAACGGCACGCACCACTCTCTTAATTGAGCGGAAATACCACTGGCCGACCCTCAAGAAGGACGTCCAAGCCTATCTGCTATCCTACAAGTGCCACCGGCGGAAGCGTGCCTGGAGTCAGCAACTACTCATGATGCCGGCACGGATCCTTCAGCCGTTGGAGATGCTCGAAATGGACATCCAAGACCTCAAGGTAACTTCTGACAAGGGCAATCGTTACCTACTCGTGGTGGTCGACCGAGCTTCCAAGTTCCTCACGGCCTTTCCGCTCCCGTCCAAGGAAGCAATTGGGGTGAGTCGCAAACTCTTGGAGCCCCTTCTCATCTTCGGCCTACCCCTCTCCATCCGCTGCGACCCTGGTAGCGAGTTCACCGCAGAGGTGATGCAGCACCTCTGCCGCTGGCTGAAGGTGCCGCTGAACTACGGCCCTGCCAACCACCTCGCGCCCAAGGGGCGGTTGAGAGGTTGGGGGGGTGGCTGCACGAGACTCTGTCCCAGCTGTGCACCGCGTGGCCCAAGCGGTGGGACGATTTCGTGCTCGTGGCGACCTGGATCCACCGCGTTACGCCCGACGCGTCCCTGCCCGGCGGAGCGTCCCCCTACCGCATCTTCTTCGGTCGGGAACCACGCAGCCACATCGACGTGGTCACCCAAGCGCTGGACGACAGCTCTTTTGGCCGGGGACTCGAATGGACTGTCGCCGAACAACAACGAATGATCAGGAAATCCTCACCTACCGACACGAGGCCCAGAACCGCCATCGGGAACGCCACAACGCCCGAGTCGCACGGGAGGCACCTTGAGCTAAAACTGCGGTTGGAAACTACGTTCTGGTCAAGGAACCGGCCGCCACGCTACACCGGGACAGTCACCACCCGAAGCTCACCCACGACCACTACACCGGCCCGTGGAAAGTCACCGAGGTCATCCACGACCGTCTGAGCTTCGCGGTGCAGCTCAACCGTCGCCGGATCTGCCGATGCAAGGTTGCAGCACCTGATTTCAAGCCCTACCATACGCGGCCGCAAGATCTTCGGCTGCCGTTCGAGGATGAGTTTGCCCATGTGGTGTGGCCGCCTGACCTCGGCCTGGCCGACATCTCCGTCGATGCCGTGCCGCTGTACACGCTAGTGGACAAACGGGCGGTACACGGTGCCGACAACACTCCGACGTGGACCTGGGAGTACCAAGGTCGCTACCAGGACGGTGCTCTCTCACCTTGGCTGACCGAGGACGAGGCCGGCGACAGCTATTCGCCGCTCGAGCTGGACATCTTCCACGCACTGTACGAGTTGTACCACGGTGAGAACGCCGCCCCACGACCCGCTGGACCGCCCACTCGGGGCGAACGCGAAGTGGCGTCCAGGGAACAGGCACTGCAGCTCGTCCCCGTTGGTAACAGGTTGGCCGTGAATTCGCCGACAGCGAGGACCACCTCAAGGTTTTCAAGGCCACCGTCTTCGACTACTGCGACCCTTACTGGTGCGTGGAGTACCCGGATGGAGATTGGGAGGTTTAGGCGCCGTACGGCCGCCCTGTTGGCATAGTCGTGTACCACGGTCTATGCTGGGGGGATGTTCGTATGCTGTCCAGATGCACCGGTTCTAAATAGTGTGATCACGGGCACTTGTGATGCAAGAACAAGTGTCCTGAGTACACGTCCCTATGATGGGCACTGGGACATTACCCATAAGTGCCCGGAAGGGGGGTTCTCGACAGATGTAACCTGGAACCAACGGAATAATTGCTATTGGTTCCGTTTCCCGCGCGATGATGAAACGGTTCCTCCGACTGACGGCTGCCCCCAGCATAATTGGAGTACCGCTGCCTGCTCGCGTGTGTTGATCACGGAACGCTTGGCATGTGTCTACAATCGAACTCATAGAGAATAGCTAATGATCTGCGCAGGTGAGAGTGGATAACCTGGTGATAACGTAGTTTAGCCCTTCTCTTGAACACAAGGATAGAACACAAGGATACGACGCTCAATCAAAATTCATCAACACGTCGTTAGGACGAAGCGAAGGGATGGTGGCGTCACAACGCCCGTTTTGTCCGTTCGTCTCGGGCCCAATGGACGTGCTTGCACCAACTCTATTTCTGTGGTTTTTGTGGCAGTGGCTGATGCAACCGCTGGTTACACATCCCAATGCGGTCTTGTAGGGGTGTCGGTACTGGATGGAGAGTCCCCAGTACGTGGCTCGAAATACCCAAGGAATCTGGGCGAGATTCAATATGTTTTTGGTACGCTGCTGGCCTGTGCGATGAGTGCCATTAATCTCGTATTGTAGCATGCCAAGTCTACCTTCCGACAGCTACCGTTCAATTCGCTGCTACTGTCCAAACCCGAAGAAAATATTCGGTCAAAACGGAGCTACAAGCTAACAAAGACTATTGACTGAGTTCTCTATTGCACTACTTCGATGGGGAATGAAGATTGGACAACCATGAGTTCTCCATCTCCTGCCACAAAAATATGTTCGCACATGTATAACCCCGCATCTGTACTACTCCCCCTACATATTTCCCCTCTTCTTGCCCGCCCCTGCTCCGCCCATATTCCGGAGAGACAGCTAGCTCCGCGGCGTGTGTATCGAAACACGTGGACTTGATTCATACGTGGTCGGAGATCTGATGGTTGACTAACCTGCGCACTGTGCAAAACTTGTGCAGTACCTTTCCATTTACCGCCAGCACGGCACACGTCGTCACTCGACCCAGCGGACTATTGTGGTATGAGTCCTGGTCCCTAGCGAACAAAGTGATGAGTGCACCTCTGCATCATCGGCACTTCGCCGCAAGAGCTATTACTGCCACTCCCCACCCTCCGGCCCAGTTGTGTTTTGCTTTGACTACGTAGGACAACACGCATTGTCTCCACGTTCGAAGAATGCAAAAGAAAACACAACCTCACGTATTGGTACGACCTAGCCGTTCCGCCGAGTATGGTGGGCTACAAGATATAGATAATATCAAAAGTTTTCCAATTCTTCGAAGAGGGCATTTTCTTCCGCGCTGAGAGGCGGAGAGTCGTCCTCTACGGATTCAGGATAGCTCTCGAAGTTAGACGTATCACCCAGTCCCTGCACCTTAGGTAGGAAAGGCGCCTCCACCTGTACCAGTAACCCGAGAGCAATTGTACAATCAGGGAATGCTACGAATTGGTGCACCAGTGCATAGAGTTCTTCAATCGTACCAAAGTATGAAACCAGCGTTTACATTGGCCGAGGGTTCTACATACAAATAATGCACCGTGGTTGTCGTGTTGTCTTGAATGAAATGAACAAGTGGTTGTTCTCGAGTATTTGACTGTACCGTAACCGATATAGCATCAAAGCACTGTACCTGCCCATTGTACACTGCCTCCCAGTCTATGCCGTGGAACCATTTGTGCTCCTTTACCGCCCGCGACCCCCCCTTCATGCACCCTGTTTTCGTCCGCGTGCGTCGGAGTCAAGCGTGACGCAAGACAAGTCAGCAGCGCGCCCATTGCACGACGGTATGCAGAAGACGGGTTCTTTGGATAAAGTTCGAGGTGCAGCACGATGCCACCAATACCTCGGCGAACGATTAGAGAAAAAGAAATATACTCTGCGATGGATATACTGGGTGTATTGCATTGACCGATTCAACAAGATAGCCCATCTGAATCCGTGGTCACAGCGTGCGTAGAGCACGAAGTTCAGTGCTTGACCAAGAACAAGCAAGGGGGAGACAAAAACCAAAAGGACGTCCTCTATGGACCTTGACGCGTTAATGGGCGTGGAGATTGCTGGTTGGGAAAAGCCGTTTTCAGGGCTGGCCACTTTCTAGATCATTTACTCCGGTATGGTTTAATGTACGCATGATTTAACTAACCTGCCCACTGGATGGGGATTTCAACGCCGTTAAACAAGGGATACCGGTCGATGGTATTTACATAGTGCATTCATCTGTAGGCGAGGACAGTAAATGGAGTACATGACTGTACTACTACCCGCGGCACCTTTGCCTTGAAAATAGGATACTACTACTGTAACATCAAGCGCCGTCTTACCCAGGCGGCTGGTACGGTCGATGGTGAGTAGCCGCTTAATAATGTCCTTCGCTTTACTATCCACATGACGAGGGATGTCCAGCTTGCCCGCCAAGATCTTCTGGTAGATCCCGATCGGGTTTTCGTCGTAAAAGGGGGGGAATCTGTGCGCGGGGAAACACGCGGAAAGGCGACGATGTATGCTTCGCGCCAAAGCAATGGACCCTCGTTATGGCTCTACTCAAGTCGGTGTGCCAAACACATGGCGACCTCGCCCTAAAAAACTGCCCTACTAACGCAACCAGGATGCGTTGCCCTCTAGACTATCACAGCTGAAATTACCGTGTAAGGTGTGTCTCTAGCGGGGAAGTGTTTCGGAATGTCTCCCATCACAAACTCCGAGAAAGGCCTTCCCGCGCCCTCCGAATCACCACTTGCCTGCCCACGGGTGCTTGTCCCTGCCCCCTATAGGTGTTTGCCGATGCTTTAAGCTTTATTTCATTCATTTTTTTAGATCGTTCGTGGGGATGCTACGTTTTGAGATTCACGACACGCAGTCTATGCTGCATGGGACGCTCAGCGCACGATCAACTCGTACTGTAGGCCAAAACGACGTTCATTCTACATACCAAGCATCGGGTGGCAAAGAAGACGTATCCTCTTACCCAGCAAGCATCTCGTGAATGAGCACCCCCAGCGCCCACCAGTCGACCGATCGGCCGTGCCCTTTGCTCTGGCGGGACGATGAAAAAAGGGGCGGTGAGAATAAGTTGCCGACTGCTTTACTATATTAACGGGTACTCTCTGCATGATGCCATTGAAGTGTGGCCTGGTCTTTGGTGATGACTCCAGACACATCCGGATACTGTGAAGATGCCCTCCAATGATAAGCAGTGTTGTCATTGTACTATAGTACAACTGACCTGGATGATTTCGGGCGCAAGGTATTCGGGGGTCCCGCATAGAGTCCATGTCCTGCAAGGAGAAGAGACAACCGCAAGATTGAAATAGCGGATATGGGCAGGCAGTTGCAAGATGTTGCGCCGAGAAGTGGATAGAACAAGTACGAAACCACAGTGTGCACGGTTGTAGCCCTTTGTGAGGGAACAACGCTGGCTGTCCATGACAACCCGTCGACAAGCACCTCGGCACGTTGGTAAGCCAAATATGCATAGAGAATCGTGAGTAGAACGCACCACCTAGACAATCCAGACTCGTAACACTGGCCCGGGACTTGGCAGGACGGACTTGTGGTGGCTAGACCACTGTGTCAATTAGCTATTGCTCCTCGTGAAGCACCGTTTCGTCACACTCTTGTCCTCACCGATCCTCGACAACCTTGGCGAAGCCAAAGTCAGTCACCTTGATCCGCCCCTCTCGTGTGATGAGGAGGTTCTGGTTCACAAGAAAAACTACTCAGTCAGTTGCATGTAGTCGGACTAAGGGGCTGCAGTTCGGATGGTGTTTAGGCGCTAGGGGTGTTGCGCAACTCGCATTAGAAAAAAGGAAATCACACGCACAAATTAGACTACCAGGCACGGGGAAGGTGCAAACGTTGTGATAGGAACTCGAGGCAACGAAGACACATTAATAAACGATTACTCAACTTGTAGGCATGCTTCAGTTTGGGCGTGGCCCGCTTACGTTGGGTGTGTAAAAAAAACGGAACCAGCCCAAACATTGGCTGCATCTGACCTGTTCAGTACGATTTTCTCCAGTTTCTTTTACGGGTGACAACGACACAGTTCTCTCTGGACATGTTGCTCGAGTCACTCTTTTACTTGTTCTGCGGGACGATACCGAGGATCAACTGCGACAGGAAGTCAACACACCTCGGGCTTGAGATCACGGTAGACCACGTTAAGACTATGCAGATAGGAGAAAGCGAGCACTATCTCCGCCGTGTAGAGCTTCCCTTGGTGGTCGGGGAATCTGAATTTTGGACGGTCGGGTGTCAAAGAAAAGCCGTAACACGATGAAAGTAGCGCACGTGAAGAACTTGGGGCAATCATCGGCTTCGCTACTACTGCTTTGGTTCTACGAACTCATCATCCTGTAAACGAGTACAAGCACCACTAAGCCGTACTTCGGCACCAAGGACAGAATCCAGATCCCCCCTTCAATACAAGCTCAAACTGTTCTAAACACTGTATATTCATCAGGTTTGCGCAGATTCACCATTTGTTTGCTCTTAATGCGCTTAAGCTAAACCTCACATGAAAGCGCCGGGAACGGAAGCATCTCTTCTTGTCCAGGCACTGACTGGATTGTTTTCAACACCAATACCCCCTGATCGACACATGATATTCAAATACGGTATAATTATACGGCACCGCGCACATCTTAGCAAGTAAAGTGATCAGCCGTAACATGATTGTACCCCCAGTAGTGGTTCTAACACATGACATCACCTGACACAAGAACGCAAGTGGCTGAATAGCTCCCCCCCCTCCACATATTCCATCACGAGGTACAGCTTCGTGTCGTCCAGAAAGTAGCCAAACCTGACGTTGGTAATGACGTCGTTCCGAGCAACCGTATATGATAGTCCAGATTGGTTTGCGGTTGTAGTGGTTGTGGTTCTTGTGGTTGTGGTTCATGATTTTGTTGTCCCGCCTCTTTGGGCGTCAATTTTTTAGTACGAAGTACATTACATTAATTTGTACCGTGTTAGAATGTGTTTTGGACTGAGCAGCCGGGGTCACACGAGAGGAAGGCTACCCAACGTGTCTTTCTTTCGTACTCTCCCCCTGCCTTCGAGCTTGCCTTACGCTCAATATAGAGAATGATTCCACTATTTCTGTCCCGCATCGGCTGTGCAGTCGTTTTCGTTCTCCACGAAGTACTTGCTATCCACACGTGTTTGGGCGTACGTGAGAAGAAAACGCGGTTCGTGTGTCCAAACGTCAAAGGTTGCGATAGATTGCTACGTGTAACACTCGATATTGCAGAAACTTTTGGTGCCATTGAATGACGAGAAAGACATGGCGAAAGAGGGAGCAGACAAATAGAGAATGCCTGTTTCTAGCTTGTTGGAAAGCTTGTAGAAAAATGCGTTCGCTTGGATGCTCGAGGAAAAAATGTACTATCGCCAAACATTATCGATGTCTTTCTTTCCGTCTTTTGTTGCCGGTAGGTGTTTATCGTATCTACGCTATACTCTTGTTGACCAAATGCATATAGTCCATATATACCCACGAGTATGGTGACCTATAGACCGTGCACATAACCAGGGGTTCATCGATACGTTCCAACACGTCGTTGTCGAGGATGTTCGTAAGGGAAAAGGTCAGTTGCTGTGCTCATTCCGCGCACCAACACATTACAACGGAGAAAGTTACTTTTGCAGGACCAACTGACAACACGTGCGACCGCTGTTTAGGAACCCCTTACCAGCGCAACGCTGGCTTGTTTTATGCTCTGCAAAGCATGAAATATGCAGCAGTGCTGTCGTCTGTACCTGGGGGGCTATTTCATGGGCTCCACACAGTTCCAATCTTGTAGGCAAGCTCTAACACAACCCAAACGCCTAGCCCGCTTAAACCTCTTAGCAGGCGACGCATTCTGTAATAGTATTAAGGTTTCACACCCGAGAGTGATTCCTGAAGGCCTCATTCGTAGCCCCACCTTCTACATAGATGCAGACAACTTTGGGCGTAGAGACCCACGCTCCTTTTTCACTCTCTTTCTACACTCTGTTCTCGGGTAGTGAATAACCACGAAGACCTGGAGACGTTCTCTTTTGAATACAGGCTCCACAAGCCACAATTCGCCGTCTAGAGCTATCTACCATCTGCAAGGCCTGCCCGTGAGATTTGATGTGGTGAATCTCTGCATTTTCCAATGACGCCGTCTCTCTGGCTCCAGACCAGTCCTCTCACCACACCGCACGCTAGCTGCTGGATCCTGGAAATGGTAGTCTCCCTACGCGATTCATTCGCACGCAAGCACTTTTCAGCGTTCGTTTCCAACGTCTCACATGTTGACTATGGCAGGGTGCTCGATCATGCTCAGGAGTGACACCTCATTCTTCACGTGCTCCACCTGTGCCAAAGCACGTACAAAACATTATTGACGAATGAACAGACATACCGTTGCTTCAACGCAGCGTGGCATCGTGAAAAGCTCAGCAGCAACACGCCCGCAACGAACGCTGCACAAGACACGTTATTCTTCTGTGTGTACTCATATAGCTTGTAGGGCACTTCAAGGGTTTGTGGATACGCAAGACTTCTAATTTCCCGCGAAGTTACGCGGTTTACCTCTCTCTACATAGCTCGTCCATATTTCACCCTGTCGCGCTGAAGACCCACCTGTTTCATCCGTATTATTGACGCCTTCTTTGATATCTTGAGGGCGAAGAATTTTCCGTTGTCCAAGTGGCGTACCAGCCGTACTCTGCCGAAAGTGCCGGTGCCTTCGATGTGTGTAATTAGAGACCAAGAACGGAATGAAAACGGCGAAGCCATCTACGAATCACAGAAATCAGGACTGCTTTCAAGAGACGAAACAGTATCTCGCCGTCGTTCAACTACAGTACAATGGAACGACTCCTGGGGCTCTGTGCTTGCTGATGGCATGCAGCTTATGATCGGGGGATGGCCCACGGACAAGCATGTAGTCTTTGTTAGGCAGGGTCTCGACCATCACGTCATCGCAACAGCTCCAAGCGAGAAACACCCACCTAAAGTCTCCATGACCTCGAGGTCGCGCAAGCCAAAGTGATGCTTATCCCTTCTCGTGAAGTCTTCCGAGTGCTCTTCTTCCTCCCCCTTTTTCTCCCCCGCATGGCCCAACTGCGCCGCGACGTACAGTGTTCCACGAGCTGTCATGGCGATAAGAGTACACAGACTCCCCGGTATGTGCAACACTATGCGGACTAAGCCTCCATATCTGAGCAACCAATCGTCCGCACGCGCGAATGTCGTCTACATGTAGCTACCGCTCGCTGTGGCGCGTTGTTTTTATATTTTGAGATGCAACTCTGTTGCAAGGAGGGCCGGCGGGAGGTCCCTGTGGGAAAATTTGTCATCTACAAACAAACGTTAGCGGGTTGGGTTGAGTACACTCTATCGTTCGTACGTCAGCGGCTCATCTGCTTGTACACTTACTATCTTGGAACACAGACACACTCTGTACCTATGTGCTTAGAACTATGCAGTTTACATCGTCGTATTTCATCGCCGGATCAAAAAGAGACACACGTTCGCATAGTTGGTGCATATGTAGATATCGGCGACGGTCTCTCGTTGGGGGCGGCTAGAAACGCTGCCGAACCTCACGCAAGTGCATGCACACCTTAGACATGCCACGATGCAGAGCCTTGAACATGGTCCTGTCTGTCCCGCGAGCGGACGTCTTGATATTATTAGCGCGTTTCGTGGACTTGATTCGCGCCGTCGATTTAGCAGCTCCAGCCGAAACTGGTCTCCGTAAACCACCTATTGTGACAAGATAGGTCAAGAGGAGCTGATAGTGGCTCCTATCTCTCTCCCCCTCTCCCTCTTCGATCTATCTATCTATCCATCTCCCTGCCCAACGATCATGAAGCCCATTAGACGACGCGACGGTTTCAGACGCACGACCCAGAACACCACATGAATCGGCATGAACCAAGCCGCATTTTAGGGGACAGCGGACAGCGGAAGGCAGAAGGGGTGGGGGGGGGGGGGTCTCGAGTCTCGAGAATAGCCGAAAGAAAAAAAAACGCGGCGTAATTTCTCGGAAGTAAAAGGTCGTAAGCATCATTCGCGCAGACGCGCAGACGCGCAGACACATCTACCACGCACCTCGCACACCGAAAGCATGGTAAAAACGGTGGGAAAGTATCAAGTAGGGCGTACTATTGGAGAGGGGACCTTTGGAAAGGTCAAACTCGCGATCAACACCGAGAATGGAGAGAAGATGGCCATCAAGGTGAGCAAATGGCGCGCTACTTTCAGTGAACCCATTCGCGTAATGTTACACCGGAGGCAAGACACATGTTTGGCTCCTTTCACCGCTCCCGCCCGCACGAGCTAAAACACTCATGTTCCTGGTCATTCCTGGTTCTCTCTAGCGGCGCTCTGGCCGCAGTACATGGTCATCTGGTAAGGTGTGATCTACAACATTACCATCCAGTGCTGAAACCGTCGATAGTCGGTGGAATCGAGACCAACACCCACTTGAAATACGCGTTGTGGTGGTGGTGCCGGCGAGAGAGAGAGAGAGAGGCAGACACACACAATAGGATCGAGGTCGATGTCACATGGCCAGACCACGTCAAGCGCACAAGCTTTCAAATTCTAGAATACAAAGGGCACGAACCAAGTTATTTTTTGTGACTACTGGTTCACGAATTGTAGCGAGCGGTCAGAACCCGGAGTTCCTCCGCTATACGCGTCATGCCTTCAATAGATGAGTAGAGTCGGCCCGTCGAGGCAGTGGCGGAACCACAAGGTCGTTGTGCTACACAGAAGCTGTGGGGTTGCTTTAAGGTGGGCGCGGCGTCATGAGTAAAGAGATTGAAACGATGTTTCCATTTTTGCCTGTCATACATGCCTTGCAGGTGTTGCAAGCAGTTGTAGTCGGGTGGCGAGGGACAGGTTCAAGTTTGGACCGTCGTTTTGAGTTCTATTGGACATGCATACGCATAGACCATGATTTAACTTCACCCCGACGGAATGAGGCGCTCACAACAGGAGAACGAAAAGCAAGATGTAAACGGGCCGCAATCAACCAAATTCAGACAAGGTCACCGGAATTTGGAGGACGGATAATGTGATTGGAACTCTTGAGCCCAACTTTTGTTCCTCGAACACAGTATGCATACATGTACGCATAGTAACCCCTCCGCTACGCTACCATCAAACCAATGACGCACCTCGCTCAATTAGCAACTTCCAGACCTGGAGCACGATACAAGAAACAGTTGGTGTACATCGGGGTGCATCGGGGTGCAGAGATGTAAGCGGGGCCCGGAGTGATCTCTATGGTTCAATTTACTTAGCTTCCGTTTTCACAGCGGCGTTTTGAAATTCAATTTTCTTTTATGACAGTTGCGTTTTGAAATTCTGCAATGTCGACTGGGCGGCAGTGGAAGTGTTGCTCTACCCCACTATAGAGCCCAATCTCCTACGCGGGTCTTCCCGCGCAGCTCGTGCGATTTCCTCATGGCGAGCAGCTGCAGCACAGGACATTGGCGCCCGTTGCGGCCGAACGGCGATGAAAAAGAGCAGTGCCTATGGTACCCGTAGGAGCATGACGCTCTGCGATGCGTTGAAGTCAATTCTTAACCGCGGCGAACAGCGCCATTTACTTGCAGACTTCCGTCCAATTTCGGGTTGTTTCCGGCGCACTACACTCGGTATCCCATCGGTAACGGCATATGTGAGAGCACCCGTGCACATCATTGCTTTGTGGTTTCCTGTATTGAAACCGTGCTTCACGTGGCTGCACGGGAGTGCGGTTCTGAAAATCTACTTCTTGTCATTTTAGATTGAGACATTCTGTATGCTAGCGATGTTGGACCCTTTCTCGACCGAATTTTATGCGGAATTTTTCGGTGAGCGCAGATACCCCCGATGTGCACGTCATGCAAATCTGAAGCAGCAAGATGACCTCCGCTGGTTAGGTCAGGGATGGATTTATCCAGGGGTGCAAAGTGTTCCACACAATGTGTAGGCGCGTCTCGGGGCGTTTTTGGATGTTGAAACACAAAAGACGACGCTATCGACAAATCAGCTCGCCGTACACACCCCATATCGAAACATTTTTGTATCTTACTGATTTGGTAGCGCGGTGATGGCCTCTTCAGGTTTACGATGGTTTGTATGTCGGTCACTCCTGCAATCATTTTTGGATTGAGACATGGCTGGGCTCATGCTCCTTTCGGGTCTTGTTCTGCCCTACCCGGCTTTCCACCATTCTTCGTTTTTTTTTAGTTGTATTTTTTTTCTGGTTTCTGTGTAATCATGGATTAGCAAGTGATCACGAAAGTATGTCGTCATCGTGGAGCGTACAGCAGTACGGACGAAGAGGTGCTGGAAAGAGGTCACCGCGATCTTACCGTTTCACATATATGGAGAGAAGACGCCTCAACAACACAGGGGCATACACTGATTTTGGCATGAGACAAATAAGGGCGCATCAGTATGGACAATGGAAAACCACCGATAACTCTACGCATCGGATCACCGAGCAGATTCTCGCCTACGCGGGAGGCCGATTTACGCCCTACACGCGGCAGGCAATAGATCCTTGTTCTCGATGTTTGAGGATCGTCGGATCGTCGGAGATTACCTGTGATATCGGGAGGTCGCCATCATCTTGTGTTGGTACTCTTTGGGATGATCAACGGTCTCCCTTCAGCCCCACCGAACAGTGCGAGGACGTCTTGCGTGGGACACGCGTACGAGTGTCGTTTACGCGAGAGCGTAGACAACAAGCCACCGTTTTGCAAAAGTCCTGTTGTACTTGTTGGTTGGCATATAGGAAACGCACGCTGCCGCCCACCCACATGCGTAAAACGGTTTCGGCCACCGTAGCATACACCATCTCTTTGTGATCACGTCGCTTTCTTCGGGCCATCGGGTCGATCATTCGACAGGTGCTGGACAAGTCGATCATCCAAAGACAAAACATGGGGGCGCAAGTGAAGCGGGAGATTTCCATCATGAAACTTGTCCGTCATCCGTACGTGGTTCAGCTGAAAGAGGTGTTGGCTTCCTCATCAAAGATCTTCCTAGTTTGTGAACTCATCACGGGAGGCGAACTGTTCGACAAAATCGTCGAAAAACAGGTGATCAGTATGCTGCATGGGTGTTTGGACTGGCGCTGACAACAGCACGCAGTGACGATAGGCGAAGAGTTTCATGTTCGTGCATGGTGCGCACGTTAGGTACTGCAACACATGCATGTTGTGCGAATATCCGCGAGAGATACGAATCCACTTACGATGAAGAAAGCCGCAAATGATTCGCAAAAAGCACCAGACCGCTGCTACAAGGTTACCCCAGGCAAGGAAGGCTTCAGACCGGACAAGTTTCAAATAGGCTTCATGGTGAAGTTCGGCCGTGTTGAGCTACTCAAAGCTTGACGAGTGAAATCGACATTTTTCACCTGTTTTTGTGTTATTGTTGTGCCTTTTCCTGGAGAAACCTGCCCCCATAACCGTGATTGTGCCGCGTGCGATTCAATCCATCCGAAGCGATTCACGGAGGACGAGGCGCGATTCTACTTCAGGCAGCTTCTGGAGGGCATGGAGTATTGCCACTCTCAGGGAGTTTGCCACCGCGATCTGAAACCGGAAAATATTCTTCTCGATGGTGCTGGGAATGTGAAAATTTCCGACTTTGGGCTCTCGAACCTGTACAGCGGGGGCGATGACGAGGCACTAAAGCTGCTGCACACTACATGTGGGACGCCCAACTACGTAGCGCCCGAGGTAAGTGAGCCTGTTGCATGCGGTTATTCGTAGCGTGCACTTGGTTGCAACTGTGCTCCGACTATATATGCTAGACTATGCATCGCATGACTTTTGTCATTTCTTTCGCGACTGACCATCCCGGTTTCCCAACAACTGTGGCAGACTCTAAGGCGCGTCTGTGAGCGGTTCGCGTTTGAATCAATCAACCTTCGCTCCAAACACCCCAATATATCCAGGTTTTAGCGGACAAGGGCTACGACGGGCGAATGGCGGACGTTTGGTCCATGGGCGTAATCCTGTACGTACTGCTTGCCGGGTTCCTCCCTTTCGATGAGCCGTCCATGTCCACCTTGTTCAGCAAGATCCAGGCTGCAGACTTCTCTTACCCCAGGTGCGGTACACGTTCTCCCAAAGTATCCTAGACGGCACCTTTCGCTACGAGCAAGATCCTTTTTTTCGCTGGGCTTTGGTGTAGCTCGTACAAGCAGCAGGGAATCTCTTCCCTCTCGCGTTCCGTTTTTTCTGGAAGGCAAGTGACGGGCTCAGCCGCGGCTACCGAGAGATACTTACAACAGGGTACAACGTGTAGCAAAGCCAAAAGTGCTTGGCTTGACTTCTGTGAGGTTGCCAGGTCAAGCATTTGTAGCACCGACAGGATGCTGTACTTCTGTATGGCGTAAAAGTTCTGCAAATGCATCCCCCTCCCCTCCCCCTAATGCATCGTCGAAACGACGACTCAGAAATTCAAGTGCTTCACCGCTGAAGCTGGACCTCACACACATTGTCGAGCCATGTGTGTTGCCTTGGAACTAAGGCATGGTATTGCACAAAGTTCCACTTACCATAACCCCGTTTCCTACGCGTATGCGTGTTACGTCGATGTACAACGTGCCACACGACAGGTGGTTTTCTCCGGAGGCTCGATCAGTCATCGATCGCATCCTGGTGCCTGACCCCAAGCAGCGACTGACCCTGGCGCAGATGAAGGTAAATACGTACCTATAGGCGATAGCTTTTGTGCTCGCCGTGATACGTTTGTTTCTGCGCCCAAGTTTTTCAACCAACCGTTTTAGGGTTTCGCTGGACAAAGTGACGGCATGCCGTAAGCCTCGTGGGTCAAAGCCTTTTGAGACACTGACTTACGTGTGCGGCGTCAACCTCATTGTTGTAGTCTGTCGTATGCGGACGCCATGCACAGAGGTCACCTCGCTACACAACGCGAACGAGTGGTAAAGAAGAGAGCCGGCTTGTGTTTTCTCCACGTACTATTCGGTGTGGAATTTTCCTCTTGGTTTGTACGTATGCATACTGTAGTATTTTGTTGGACCTCCAACACGACGGCTTTCAAATCAGCCTTGGGTGTAGAATGATTGGGCCGCACCTCATGTCACTTGCATTCGCCCGTGTGGTGTCGCCTGTTTGACTTGACTTACTTTTTGGCAGGCTCACCCGTTCTGGGAAGCTGGTACTGCAGTGGAGATTTCATCGTCAACGCCGGATGTCATCGTGCCTACGGAGGCTGAAGTCGACTCTGCCGTCCAGGTAAGCAATCAATACGTGTGACATGTTCAGGCATCGACACGCATTTTCCTACCATCCTAGCTGACGCAATTTATCGCTCGAATCAAGCAGTACCGTATGCATGGGTGACACGTAGCCGACGTGACAACGTCATGGTGGGGTATCGTGTGCGCATGTTGCCATGGTTCTGTAGAAGTTATATAATCTGACACCAGTACAGTGTGGAATCCCTTGAAAGTAAGGTTGTTGTGACGCCATTACATACGCCTACATCGCTTGGGTGATGGCGATCGACTAGTGCCTAGTTGGTTTGTTCAGGCGAAGAAGGTAGGCACCCTTGCGACGCTTTTCTCTGTCCTGTGTTTGGTTTGTTCAGGAGGGAGTGGAGCCAGAGAAAACGGAGCAGTCGGGCACCATCGAGCCACCGTCGGTAGGGGACATGGAGCACTCATCCACCCGCAGAGGGTCTGTCCGCCTCAACACGTTCGAAACCATGCTGGATCCCGCGGAAATTGTCAGCACGCTCACCACGGTACGAGTAAGCGATAAATAAATCGTTCACTCTCAGGCTCTATCATTGCTGCTTGCTATCCCTGCCTGTTGGCATACGTACGGTGTGTGCCTTCTCTTCGTGTTGAAATATTATGGTATATTGGCACTGACTCGCTGTCGAAACGCATCGTCTTCCGTCTAGGTCGAGCAAGGATTGCGATTCACGCATCAGACATTTGACTAAAATAGTACGGTTTCCACGAAAGCACACACGATGTACCTATATTGACGCTTCCTTGCGTGTGTCGTGGGGAAGTTGATTCTGTTTGTGTACAATACGGGCTTTAGTCTAGATCCTTGCTGGCCTATCTTACACATGTCCATAGTAGGTTGACACCGCATGAGAAGAATATATTTCCTTGTTGATTCTTGGGCGTCAACACTGTAGACTACCTGGTCCATCTGTTGGCCACCTGCCGATGCTTTGTATTTGCTCACAGGCGCTGCAGGAGATGGGGTGCGAGCTCCGCGTCTTCGAAGCGTCCAACAAGATCAAAGCATGCCTCATGACCGCCAAGGGCATGATCGGAGTGGTTTTGCAGGTGTATTTGTCGGACGGAGCGGGTTCGCCGAGCATGGTGGAGGTGGGCCTCGAATTTGGCTGAACGTTTCATCTTTTTTCTACCATTTTTCTATTATGAAGGTGGCGTCCTTGAAGCTTGCCCGGCTCACCCGAGTAGGATCTGTTGGTATGCAGCGCCCCACATCGAATACCGTGTGGGGCGGTGAAATGTGCAATGGTCCATCTCATCATCCAACACGACGCTCCGCAATTTCCGGCGACCGGCTCAGCGCCAGCAATCACAAAAGTATACATGAATCCCAATATAACCAACCTACAACTAACACTTCACTGACGGCTGTGCATACGCTGTACTACCCCCAGGTCCGCCGGGGAAAGGGCGACAACCTGGAATTCTCAAAGTTCTGCAAGGAACTCATGGAGACAAAGCTCACGGACGTGGTTCACAAGACTACTGTTGACAATGTTGGGGAACCCGTGGCTGCTGCCTGAACGAATGTATACAAAGGTTGCCGCAGCAACAGGTTCCGAATGAAGTATCTAGCGGAAGAGAATAAAACGACCTTCGATATAGGGTGTAGTGCCGGAGCGCGCCGTACAGAAATGGAACGGACAGGGCCGGTGTGTTTACATGTGGTATGACATGCATGTCATATGGAAGAGGGCACAGCTGTGAGGTGCTCAACACTAGAAGTACAGCCGGGTTGGTACAGTCAATAGCTCGATGTTTTCAAGTGGCAAGCTCGAAAGAGGATCGGAGGAAACACAGTAAAAAGCTTTTGCTGGCCTTTCCACAGCAGTAGTGGTAGAGGTTTCGTGTTTCTGCAACACCCCCGCGTCCCTCCTTGGACGCGCGTTGTTGACTCCTGTCCCGACCCGACGGTGTCGTGCGTGATGTTGTGGAGGTAGCGTAAATTTCCGTGGGAACTGTGCGACTTACACATGCCAGTACCACACTTTGATGTCATGTTTGTGTACGATTAAATTGTAGCGCCTTGTAAGAGGGTAGTAGACCAGTAATAGTACTGTCTTGTGTACAGAATTGCCCCATGAGAGGCAAGACGGCACATCCGCTGTTTCTTACCAGGGACACGGATAAAAGTAGAGAAAGGGTGCCCGCCGCCCATGCGCTTCTCATTAAGGTATCCGCGAGGAGTGTGAGGGATTGACTACGAGTGGAAATAGAGTACACATGTACTCGTCACATGTTTGAAATGAAAACAGCGAAATTAATCAAGGCGCCTGAGTTCTTGCTGAAAATGGATTGTACACGTCATTTTCCGCCCTGGAAGGGAAGGGAGGTACACCTACGTGCACTTGTTTGTTTTTGTTGGAAACAGGTCGTGTAATTTCTATTCTTCTGATCCTGGTGGGAGGAATCCCCGTATGGCAACCTTTTCTTCCACCTCAACAGCAAGGTCTAAAAGGCCCTCAGGCAGGTCCATTAGGATCGTGCAATTGCCTTCTTCAACCCTAACTACCGGCACTAGGGCCGGCACGAAGGGAATATAACATTCCTTCGGTATGTCGCCGGGGTTTTCAAGGGGGAGCCGCAACTCCAACAAGTCGCTAGCAAGCCCAGCTGTAGGGGAGATGTCGTTCCCCAAGACAACCCCGACGACTTCTCCGATGTAGACGGACTCGTCGTCTTGCCTGTATGCCCGTCCCCCGACGAGATCTCTGACCATATACTCGTTCTCCTCCAAGTCTACCTCTTCATCCTCTAGCACGTACACCTTGTGCCCCCGCAACGCCGCAGCAGCGTCTCTCGTCTTTACACCCTTCACAGTAGCAAACAGGGAACAAACACAAAAAAGAGGGGCCGGGACATCCTAAACAAGAAAAAAAAAAAAGCGCAACGAATAACGGCAATGAATGTAATGGCACAAACAGGGTAACCATGATCGTGGGCACACTCCAGATAAACTTCGCCAAGTGAATCCGAACACTTGCGCATGGAGTGCGTACAAAGTAAACTTGATTTCAAGGAACCTCGCGGAGCTGACAGAACAAGTCGTTACTGCAAGCGACAATAGTGCCAAGCACCTCGTGGTCTGTACTGCTTGACAGAATACAGAGACAAACAAGACACAAAACACAACCAACGAATCCCCATTTGACTTCTTTCGTCTCGTTTTTGAGACAAAAACAAAAACACGCCTCACCTCAAGCTGCAACAAGAATATCTCCTCTTTCTGCCATCGCCCCCCAATCAGCTCAATATCCCGAGGGAAACGTCTGTTGGGTGCCTTGATGTGCTTGATGCCCGGAGTGCAAAGCCTGTTAATCGCGAAATCTGTTGACGAGCGTACCTTGACCTCTCCCTTGATGCCATGCGCACCTTGGATGTGTCCAACCTGGCAATGGAAAGGAAAATATAGAAGTTATTGTTTTCCGCAATCTTGGGGAAGCAGACTTTTCATGGTGTTCTTAAGGGGGCCCAGTATAGGGGTTTTGACGCTGGCTCTTTTCTCATACTTTAACCCAACATAAAGAAAGAAAACAAACTTTCCGCCGGAGGAACCTGACGCTTATTTAGTACTAAATATCAGTAGAGGACACCATCAGGAGGCGTCATGGGTGCTGGTACGTTCGTGTATGCTATTGGAGCTGAAATATCGAAGGTCGCAGCAGCCTCTAAAAACAGTCCGAATTTTGCGCGCCGAAACCAAGCGGCATCCAACATTTGTCACAGCCGTGCTCACCGCCACGGACAACCCCTGAACGGAGGTTGTCAGCAGTAGCTAGTGATATCAGCTACTGCTGAACCCGCAGTTCAGGAGATTGGGTCAGTGGCGGCGAGCACAAGCAAAACATGACTGGGTGTCGGTCTAATTTGCGGAGATTTGCGGAGAGTGTAGGCCACTACTACGACCCTCGATATCACCACGGCAGAAGCGGATTTGAGCGCACCAACACGCACCCCCCGCTGCTATAGGATGTGCTCTAGTGACATTAGTACTATGCCGCAGGTTCCTGGCAACACAGACCTTATTTAAGCGCCTGTCGTTTTGGCTCGTTTGACTTGAATATAGAATAGTGTGAATTTCTGTCTTGATTTCAAAGGAGGCGTGTGGAGGTAGACGCGTGAAATGTACGTTTTGAGCAGCCTCTACTGCCGCTATGTGCAAGAATCAACGATTTCTGTTTTTCGCGATGCCCTCCGACTGGTCTTGTGTGTCTCTTGTGCGTTTTTGGTGCCCCTGCGTTTGTTTTCGAAACTAGTTAGCAACATCAACATTCTTGTTATGCGCAGAACTACTGGACGCCCATATGGGGACACTTTCGGGACAGCACTCACATTGTCTGTTTACCACACCGCAGTCGCCCTACAGTAGGCTCCGCCGTGTGAAACGCATATGAGAACCCTTGGTCTATCATGCTCGGGTGAGGTGGAACGCTGTGTGATATGCTGTGTGATGCCTCTCCTCCGCCTCGGACCTGCTGTTACATTCTCCCAAGCCGCGTGTCCCCTAGGTGGTAAAACTGTACATAGCCTGGTACCGGAAAAAATGGCTGACCGGGACACTTCTCATTCTCAAGCCAAGTCACCCTTCGTCTGGCAAGGAGCTCGGAACTCTTCGATTTGTTTGGAGGGACTGTAGCCTCTCGGCCCAATGCCTGACAAAAAAAATAAACAAATTGCAATTTTTTTTTGCGGAGGGACTGGATACTACAGTACGAGCGTCAACACGTTCCGGAGAAGCTTAAAAGTGTCGTGGTTCATTGCGCTTCACCACCACTATCTGCGTCTAGCGAACTGTGGTAGGAGATTAAAGAGCACCCCACGACACGAATGTGTTACATCACGGATTGAATTACGTATAGAGCAGCTACTGTTGAATGGGGCAGCGCTCGCGATTCAAACCCCAAGACGCTGTGAGGCAATGTATTGGTAGCTTGCGTAGACTAGACCAATATAAAAAAGCATCAAGCACTTCGCGTTGCCTCTGCTGCTCCATCACCGATCGTTCACGGAACAAACAACTTGCCTCAATATATCCAAAGGTGGATGGGTCGTACGGGTCGATGTCCTCCTCATCGGGGTACTCCACCAGACCCCGCTCTATTCGTCGTTGAATCCGTCTCTTCTCAAGCTCCTCCACTTCTGCCCTCTCTATTGCCTCCGCCTCGCGCATTTTCGCTTCAGAATTTCGCAACTGCCGTTCCCAGGGGTCAATCTCGCCCGCCTTGCTTTTAGAGGAGTACTTGTTAGCGTGTCTCCTTCTCTTCTTGCCCGCATGCTTGCCCTTTCCCGCGCCGAAGGCATCTTCCAAGCGGATACCCGCGGTGTTACTGTTGTCCTTGGCGCGTTGCTGGGTATCTTCTTGACCAAAGGCCGGTGCGGAGACCTACAGCACCCAACAAGATACACATGAAAGGTTACACAGCCATTGGTAGCTCGTGCGAACATTGTAGCCCTTCAAACAGCTCAGGGTCGCCTTCGTTTGATCGACAGACACGTTCCGATCCGACGAGTGAGAAACGTTTCGGCGGGGGGTGGGATTCAAGGTGCTAACGTCTGGGTCGCCGCGGCAGCACCACAGGCATATCTTGCTGCATGTTTGCGGAGCAGGAAACATTATTCCAGCACCTTGCTAGATATGTTTGTGAACAGAATGGGGTGCTAGATAAACTTTAGCAGACAGGGGGGTGCACCCCGCGGTTTCGTCAACAAAATGGGGTCCTCCAACAAGCTCCCCTCATCCAGGCCCTAGTAATCCCTGTTCCTGTGGGTGAAAAAAAAGTTGGGCGTCCTTCCTAAGGAGTGGCGCATGGGGCTGAAGCGTTAGAAGGCGGTTGAAAGGCGCCTACCCTGCGCCAGGTGCTGCGTCCCACATCGAAAAAAAATATACCCCATTTTGTGCCTCAACACGCAGGGTATACCCCATTTTGTCAATTCCAACAAAAAAATGAAAGCAGTGATGGCTGTTTCTGAAGTTGAACAGCATTAGGTTAGCACATGCCAACCGGTGATTGGCCACATAAAAACGTCAGAAGAGAGAGCAGGTCACACAGTACTGCTGTAACCTGAACAGTGCAACGAACGGGCGATTTGTCTTCTCGGGAAAGAAAACACGGTCCGAGGAAGGCCCCTCCCTGTGGCTGGAATCCAACACGATGCAATTTCAACTCATTTTTCCGGCCAGGAATCTCACTGTTGGACGTTGAAACTCGTATGCCTGGTATATATATTTTCAGTTCTGTCATACGGTGGAGATCTTGTGGACTGCTGTCTCATCTCGCCTCATCCCCAGTTCAGGGCTTGGTTGAAAGCCCAAACGCCCCGAAAGGTGCTTATTACTCTCACCAGAGTTTTTGAGATATCATGATGCTACGGTCACTACCTGATACTGCGGTTCGCACGCTGGAAACGCACAAATATACATACGTTGTTCTTCGCTACCCTTTCGAGGATGGGTGTGTGCGTTTTTGCTTGGAGAAAACGCCGCATTTTGCCGCTGAAGTCGTTCTGCTGGCCATGACTCCGACTGCTGAATTACAGCAGTACGCAGAAACATGTAGTTCCAGCAGTCGAGCCATGTCGTGGCGGTGTCAGCAGAGATGCAGAGCAATGCACATCACCGTGCAGACCGCCGAGCCCGATGCTCGGACGTTGGCACGCACATCTATATATATATATATGCATACGGCACACATGCTGCACATGACATACATATGCAATACACATGCGTGCGGCATGCGAGCTTCCAACCGAGAAAATCCAGAAAATAAATGTTGGCAGCCAAATTCTTAAAGGGATCTTTATCGACGAAAAAGCTAGCGCCGAGCTCCCAAAAATGGCGCAAACCCTTTTATTGAATGGAAGTTTTATTTTCTGTTTTTCTAGTCTATGGTTACCTCGCATGGCGTGTAGAGGAGACCGGAGGGTTCTAGACTATCTGTCATTGATTTCCATTTACTTGCAGACCCTTCGGGTCCATTTCATTTTAGTACTCCAGCATACCTTTTTGGGTAAGTTGGCCTGTGACCACGGGAATCGACCGCGTGAAGTGTTCGACTAGTATGGACAGGAGAGAGTACTGGGTAGAGTGATCGGAACGGTTCTTAATGTGAGGGCAACAAGTAGTCTATCGAAGTCTATGCATAATCTGTTTTACTGTGTTTGCTGTTTGCATGTTCTTGCGTCACCCATTGCCACGGTGCTCTCCTTCACCCACTCCGGAGGCAGGTCTTGAACTGCATACATTTGAGTACTAGATAGGGCGGGGTAATGAGCCGCTGGGTAGCGACTCAATACCTTGCAATAGTCTTATCTACGATGCTGATGGTGCACGAATCCCGACACACAGCAGCGTGAATCGTTTGTGGTGCAGCTACGCGTGCACCAGAGGGACAGGCTGCAGGGGTGCGACGGGCGCGACGATGGTAGTATGTGCGGCCCCGTTCAAAAACTTGCACTTTACATGCGGTTGTTCCTTTTCCGTTGATGCACATGCACACACCCACGAAGAAACAAATGTGGAGTCTTTCCGCTGTGCGGACGCACACACGCACACCAGGGCATCTGGAAGAGGCACGCATGCGGCATGTACCTGGCGGCGAGCGTATCACACATCACACCGACGAGGAGCACGACCAGCAGCGTAGACATAGGATTGTGACAAGACAGAGGGCAAATATTGCGTCAGGCTCACAACTTGCCCGCCACATTCGTCTCAAGCCTTCCAAGTTTCCCGCCAAGTGAAAGCAAGCAATCTACATATTGTATCACACATCACGGGACATTGCTACATACAGCTTGAACCAAAAACAACAAAGCCGTTGATGGTCATGACTTTGATGCGAGAGACCCACCAGCAGCAACAGCAGGCAGGGCACGGCTTTTGCTAAGACAGTCAGTAGCGCCGCGCAAGTGACCGATCCCGCGGGGAATCACCCTGATAACGCACAGCAGCACTAGCCCCTCACGCCCTCCACGGTTTCTCTCGATGGTAGGTGCGATCTCTGGACTTGGGAAGGTGTGTTGTGTTGTCTGTTGTTCGTTTGTGATAATCGGTCTGCTGTTGTTTTGGGAGCAGTCGATTGGACCACTCAACATTAATAAACACCTGCCAGGTTACACACGGCGCATGACTATACCCACGGCGCACAGGTCGTATAGGCCCGGCCCCTCCGGGTGTTCATAGATAGCTGGTCTCGGATCAGCGTCCTGTTGTTCTTCCGCTGATGTGGTGTTGTCATACCGGGGTTTGAACTCTACCGCGTGTCTGTGTGTGTGTGCAGTCTCCGATAGCTCGGGTATTTTACCTCTCCACAATTCCTGGGCATCCAGGAATGCAAATTTGGGTCACATATGCCTGTAAAGCACGGCCATCTGTTGCCGAAGGAAGACCAAACCGGTGTGACGAGAGCGCGTGATTTTTCTTCTTCCTCAGAAGTGAACAGATCGTCAAACGGTGCCCTACAGGTCTCGTTCTGGTCCGAAAGGTACGATAAATATGCGTCACGGAAATCAAACTTTGGGCCCCTGCAACACACGGCGGAACTCAGGCCGATACTTGGAGCCTTTTTTTCCCTCCTGGGAGATGAAGGGAAAAAAGGTCGCGCTTCGCGCTCCGCGGCTTATTATTAGTACAAGTTTTGATTTGGGTACCGACCAAGACACCAAAACGGAGCACTTTAGTTGAGGTAGATATTTGCATCCGTGTCACCCGGCTGGAGGTATCACCTGGAATGTGTGGTGCACCGCATAAAAGTGGCACACAGCAGTCTTTTCCAGAGTGTTGACTTTCCGCTTCAACCACTAGTCTACACAAGTACGGCCAGCGTTCGAGTTGTTCGAGTGAGCAAGGTTCGTTCTTGGTTCATACCTTAACTTGCTGATCAACGTCCTTGTCTCTGTTGCTTGCCCCCGAGTCCGTCATGAAAAGCAAGGTTTTTGGCGCCGCTCTTCTACGCCGATGTGGCCATCTTGCGGACAGACAGCGGATTTGGCGGGGCTGCAGTGCTTCTGCCGTCATAAGCACCTTCACCGCTGTTTCGCTCTTGACCACCAGGGGTGATGCGGAGAGGAGCGAGTGAACCACTAATGCCGAACTTTCCGCAGCCAGAGAAAACAAAAGCAGTGCTGTCGTCGCTTGCCATGCTGGCACTGTCATGATGTGGGCACTTGCTAAACTGGCAGCGTAACCGTGTCTCGCTGGCTGGTGTTCTGTTTCAGTCCATCGAGGTCTCTCGTCTCTCGTCGCCTTGTCGCGTGGTTCTGCGTACCCCCTTTGGGCAACAAAATGGAAATCGGCGTCTACCATAATGGCTGACAGTTCCGCCACCACCCCAACAGCTGGCCAGGGCGACAACAGAGCTGAGCTGCTTTCCAGAGAGAGGGTGGAAGGGCAAACATAGAGCCCTGGACTGGACGCATCGATGTTGACATGGAGAAGGCGAGGTCAACACAATAGAGTCAACCGCGCGTTGTGATAATGTACTTGTATTCATATCTTGCATATAGACTACTGTAGATGGACGAATAGAAATTTCTATCGACCTACAGCAGTACAGCACTGCCGCTCGCTGTACTGCTCTAGAGTGGAGGGTGATGGGGAATCAATACCTTGCTGTAGTCTGTCTGCGATACTGTGCGATGTCATTGTAAGGTCACTTATGGCGGTGTATGATTCGTTGTTTTCCCGGTCGTGTTTATGTTATTTACAGAACGGGCCGGAGACAACAACGTCGGGTCGAGCGTCAATTCCTTGGTCGAAAAATTGATGAAAAATAATCCACCGGGACACAGCGTTTTTGGAGTTAAAATACGCGGGCGAAGCCCACGAATACGCCTGTGAAACCCGCTGTTGGAAGTATGTACACATAGATAGAAGGGCAGAACACGCCTTAAAAATGCTGCACCTCTTTCAATGAAAGAAATAAAACACCAGACCAGAGAGGTTTCCGTCACTATTGCAGCAAAGAAAAGAACCGCGTGCAGATTTGCCGCCCAGAAAGGAGGTGGGTCTTCGAAATGTGTTCACTACGAAAATTAACAGGATGGAGACGATATAGAAACACGCACGTATCGCTGGGTGTGTGTATGATACTCTCCTCCCTCCTCGCTGTTTCTGAGCTCTTGGTGATGCTGCCACGTGCTCGAGATCAACACTCTAGTGTGTATTTTGAAGAACTCTCAAGTGTGTATAGGATAGATCAACACTCTCAAGTGTGTACTGGTTCTTCTATCCTACTGCTTTGGGCGTGAGATATGCGCCAGTTGCAGAAGCTCCGGGCTGTTCTAACTCGGTGCGCCGAAAATTGTAGCTGCCAAAATTACTCGAAAACACACAAGAAGATGCACGTAGGCGCCAAGCTAAATCTGTCCCGCCACCTTTTATGTTGCCATATGGTCGAAGACGTCCATTTTCTTGTAAAAAACTGGGGGGCTGTCGCATCCTACTGAATTTCTTGTTGTCTTCGTTATGATAAATACTGTAGATGTGTGTATCTTGCTATTTAACAACAACAACAGCTATTATAGTTCCTCTTGATCTCTGAGGACCACAAACAGCTTGTTCAATCCCTCAAGAGAGGCGGCGGAGAATCCTATCAAAATCGTACGGCAGACAGCACGTGGTGGTCTGCAACGTGTGGAAGTACAGTGCTACAGAAGTGAGTAGCGCAGCCAAAGGCGGCGTTGCGGTGCGGGGGGCACCGCGAAAAACTCACTCTCGCCCGCTAGGACATTGCACTCAGCTACCCCTTGTTTCTTACGTCTTGGGAGTATCGTGCGATCCTGTTTCTCATCGGGATGTATGTCGTCGTCTAGATTGAGGTGTGGTTGGAACCCATTTTTCTTAGTGTTCGCGAAAATTTGAGCCTCTGTCTCATACTTCATGGTTATTTTTCTTAGCTGCGGCTGCGGGCCCATTCTATATGTATATTTATTATTGAACAGGAACGACGCGAGACAAATGAAAAATTACAGGAAACCCATTTCTTGCGGTGCAGTCGACCATGTTTATTTTAGCTAGTACTCCGAGTCATCACCAACATAACATTCATGTACCTTCCCAACTCAACTATTTATTTTCGGTGATTTCTCTGTACGGAGTGAAGCAGCAGCAGCAAGTATATCTATACCCCGCGAGCTGTGTGTATGGTACGCCTTGTGTGGCGGCTGATAAGAGACCGGCGATAGGGGGCACGGAAACTGAGGTAGCGAGAGTCGACAACATGGATGGGAGAAAAACCCTACCGCCTCTAGAAAAGCTCTTTCGTTTATTGCCCGTGTCACAGGTAGGTTTCATTTCCCGGTGATCCCTCTCCTCCCATTGAAGCAAGCATCAACAGTGACAAAGGTATCCACCACGAGCTGTGTGTATGCTACCCTTCCCCCGCCAGTGTTGTCTAGGAGATGTCTATCGCCAGGCGCCTACTGACTACTCTTATCCTACAGCTCTACTGCAATTCCTGCAATAGTTTACATTTGGTGAAAAATCGTTCGGGTAATACAAGGCGTCCCTCCGGAGTGGGGTAAAGAGAGCACCGCGGCAAGGGGTGATGCAAGAACATGCAAAAAGCTTCCAGCAGAGAAACGACAGAGTAAATACGTACGCATACCTTCGTATCAAAGGATTCGGGGCAGGTCGGCGCGAGCTCATAATATTTTCAACGGTTTTCTGGATTTTGTTTGGTTGAAAGCCCACAGCCGCGCGGATGGATGTGTACATGTGCATGCCGACCTCCCGACCTCTGGCTCGGCAGTCTGCACGGAGATGTGTGCACTGCTCTGCATCTCTGCTGAAACCGCGCCACGAGCTTTTTCATCGATACTCTAAAGAGATCCCTGTGGAGGATTTTTGCTGCAAAAAGAAGTAATTTCTGGATTTTGGGGGTTGAAAGCCCGCAGAATTACGGATGGATATGTGAATATATGTGCATTGCATGTGCCGGCGTGCCGGCCTCCTGACGTCGGGCTCGGCAGTCTGCACGAGATGTGTGCACTGCTCAGCATCTCTGCTAACACTGCCACGACATATACATTGCTCGACTGCTGCTGGAAACTTACTTAGGGCTGACTCTGTGTGTAGTTCATTCAGCAGTCAGACTCAATCATGGCCTCATGGCCATCATCAGCAGAAGAAGGACGAATTGATTGAGCGGCGTCATCAAGCCGTTTTTTTCTGTTTTTCTCCACGCACACACACACACACACCCTCGGAAGGGGCAACGAAGAACTGTGCGTTTCCAGCGTGCGAACAGTATCAGGTAGTGACCGTAGCATCGTGATGTGTCAAGAATCCGGTGCGGATATGGCGAGATGAGACAGACAGCAGTCCAGAACATCTCCCCCGTATGACAGACATGACAGACCTGAACAGAAAAAAACAAAAAAAACGTGGTGCGTCATATTAAGAGAATAAAAAAAAAGAACGAACTGAAATTGCTTCGGTTTGTACCGCCTTTCTTCATGTACGCTGGGAACGCTACTGCTGCTGTACTCTGTTTTCCCCACACGTACACGCTCGCTCCATAGCCGCTCAGATCTGACAGCTGCCGCGCCAACGCTGCGCTGATGTTGTTGGCATGTTGTGATGACACAGGGTTCAACATCAGATAGATCAGAAAAACAGCTTGTCACCGCGTAATGCGTACGTGTTTGGTCGAAGCTGACGTCTTCTGCCGGGCTGTTCGACACGACAGCCCGACTCAAGCCGACAGCTGACGCGACAGATGGACAGAATCAGTGCGTGGTCTTCTTACAGCCACAGGAAAAATCTGGAGACTGTGAGGAAGACTTTACAAATCTATAACTAGTCTTATACAGTTTGTAAGCACTTTGAAGCACAATCGGGCATGGATTAAAGGCCGCAGATGATGCGGCAACCAACATGAGCCTTTTTTCCATGAAAAAAGTAATTGTCTACGCACACCACCGATGTAACGTGGTGATCTTTTGTGACGGCTGACTCTTCGACACTGTAATCCGCTTGATCCAGAGGACCTAGGTGTGGTGCAATTCGCAGGGCGGAGTACACTTACTTGTGAAAACACTTCACAGGGTGACACTTTTGTTTTCATTTTCTGGCTCTGGCCGTCATGGGCAACCTGCGAGATGATGGTAAAGTGATCCCTCTAGGACCCAGGATCGCTTTGATTTGGCCACGTCAGGACGCGACCTTGAAACGGTTGTAGACGTCGCAACTCAAGCGCTGTACGTGACGAACTTGTTAATCAGTACCATTTCCAGTGCCGCAAGTGGCGAAGGAACTAACGCCTGTGCTGAAATTCACAGCAGATATATCGTTGCTTTCGTATTATTTGAAAGCGAACGTTCATCCATGGGCGTATTGCAGTTGTGACACCGATCATATCCATCTATGAAACAGTACGTACTTCTGTGTGCCTCCCACCACCACCAATTTGTCGGCAGGTGTACAACCACCCACGAAACGCGCGAGGTGCACGATAACGTATTTCGTTTGTGAGACAGTATCTACTGCTGTGGACTAAGAGTACATATGCAAACTATGGGTTCTATGAGTCATGACAAGGTGACATTCAGGCCCAGCACCAAAATGCCCACGACAACAGATTTCTTAATGAGAAAGTTGTTCAGAATGCAGGGCACATCACGCAGCATACCGCACGGTCCCTCTCGCCACGTAATGGTTCGGGTACGTATTCGTAGGAAGTGGCAAGACAAACATACATGCGTCATCGCGAAATTTGCATTATTGTCCCTTTTCCCTGGACCGTTTGCGACCTTGATTCTGTTGCTGCTTGGCCAGGGACGCCGTAGGGCGCGTTTATTCCGTCCAGATTATTTACGACGCCTTCGACAACTGAACACTTGCAGGAACATTCGTTCGCCTGCCGTACGTAGTTTTATCGTTGTCATGTTCTCGTGCTATTGCCACATCGCTCGATTGGACGGGTCTATCGGTTATCTCGGAAACACTCGCGTGCAAGCGTGGAAGAAACGAGCATCCATCCGACGCATGCCTCTGCGGTTGACAAGCGAGAAGAGGTCCATGTACATTCATTTCCAGCAAGAATGTGATTGCATGGACTATGATAAGAGGCAGGGTTTCTTAGAGAGAGGGAACCCACTCTGTCTTTTGCCCCGGCTAAACCAGAGAGAACGACAGAGAGGTATTGGACTGGCACAGGGCAACAGTGGCCATGGCAAGAACCAAGAGATGCAGGACGGCCAAGGACACACATACACGGATACCCAGCATCTTGGCTAGACCACAGCCACAAGCAACACAAATCACACGCACCTCCTGAAGGGTAAAAACTGAAGCACTACTCGGAAGTTGATGCGATCCACTCAAGCAACAAACGCCGCAATGCACCAGTATCGGCCACAACGTCCTTCCTGCCCGGTGTAGAAACTCGAACTTGCCCGCCTGCCTCTACCGCAAGAGTAAGCGCAGGCTTTGACTGCAATCGTCGTTCGCCCAGAGGAGATTTTGACAACACGAACCTCGCCGGGGTGACAGCTGTGAGCACGAACTCCCCCCTGGAGGGAGAACGGTCACCGTTCATGCCAGCTGCACTCCCTACACCCGGCAACACACGCGACACCTCGGCCAGGACTGGCACAGTCCGTGAAAGACCATGTAGCAAGGCGTTGAGATCGCGGTGCTTCCTGACCGATGCCTCCAGCTCCCGCATAGCTGCCGGACAAGTTGGAGCATGAGGCCAAGGGATCAAAACCAACCCTGGCCGGTCTGCCGAAGAGATATGCCTCGAGGAGAACGCGCTGTGCGTCAGAAGCACCACGTGGTCAAGCTTAGAATCTCGCATGGCAACGTGTATTGGGCTGCAAGACACCACGCTGTAGCCTGCAGCCTCGCATCCGGTCTGTCGCAACTTGCTCGCCTGGGCAGCCAAAGTCTGCATGACCGTCAATCCCTCTCCAGCCAGAGCAAACGAGCGGCACATGGCATGGACAGAGAAAGGAGGAGGAAACCGGAACCTGACGTGCTTCCCTTGTGCCATCCTCGTAGTACTACTGCTTTCAATACCCTCTTGACGAACGCCGAGAATCTCGATATGCTGTGCCAGTGGCAGTTGCTCGTGGACGATCCCCCTCGTTACGGCCAGTCCTTTGTCTTCGTCCTTCGCCGGGACAGCCCAGATGAAATCCATTAGCGATGTTGTAGGGCCCAGTGTAACATCCCACTCCCAGGTATCTGCTTGAGTGTGTCCAGGAAAAAACGACACCCTCGCAGAGGACGCTGCTACCTCTGGACTCGACCAGCCATGCTCACCCGCCAAAAACACAGCGCAGTGTGGGACTTGCTGCGTAGCCCCGGAAAAGTGCGTCAGCTCGCGAAAATCCAATGACAGACCGGTGCCGACCCTCAGCAAAGCATGCTGCAACCGCGCGAACGGGACAAATCGGTTGCACATCTGCACCGCCGTACACAACTGAGTCTGAGATGCTTCTCCGACCGTACCGACTGCCGCATGCAACGTGGTGGGGCAAAGCCCGTCGTGCACCCCTGTCGTGATACCAATGGCCCCCTGCGAGTAGCCTGCATCCAGACACGAGGCTGAACGCTTGGTGCCCACCGCCGGGGGCGGTTTGGATGGAAGTAGATCCGCGTCAAGGGACCCGCACCGCGAACCGCTAAGCGGCTGACAAGGGAAGAGCTTGTAAGTCTCTCCCACCACCGGCCGAAGGGACTTTCGAGCCCGCCCCGCCGTAGGAAGGGTGGCCGAAACTACCGTGTGTTCCACATCCAAGTTACCAGTGATGTCCACTTCCAAAAAGAAGGAAAGCACCTCGCCCGTCTCCTCTAGCACATTCCCTTCTGACGACGCTTTCACGCCGTTTGCACCGGATCCCACGCCACGATCGGTTCTCCAACGCGTTGACCTGCTCGCCATATCATCTCCGCCGTCGGATACTTCCGCCAGTGACGCTGCAAGTGCCGCTGGTAGCGTCCCACCACCCTGCTGCCAGCCACTGGAACAACTGAGATCACCGTCGAGGGGTGGTGCCGAATTGAGGCGAAACCCAGCACCTGCCGACGCTGCAGTTGGGACTTGACCGATGGTTGCGGCCCTTTCCGCCCTCGTCAGTTCAATCGCGCTTGTCCCTCTTCGCAAAATGCGAAAGTTGCGAGTCCTTTTGCGCCATGCTTCCGACAAAAGAACGCCATTCTCTCGGAATTGGCCCAGGCGCACGGAGCTTCGCAAGGTGTCGCTGCCGTCCAACCGAGGGAACTCTGTACCAGCATCTATGGCGTTCGCATCTGTGCGGCCAAGCAAAGCTTGCCAGCGTAGGTGAGGGACCACTCCAAAAGCACACCGAAAGGTGTGCTCCAACTCACCCCTGCGCAGGAGTCCAAACGATTCCCCCATGCAACGACGCACCTGTCAACGGCAAACGATCGAGGACGGTTTCGCAAACAAGTTAAATCTACGTTTCACAAACCCCGTCCTGCCGTGTACGACCCTCCAGCAGAGGGAGGGGAGGCCGTTGGCGCCTCGTTCAAGGTACCGATCCAACTCACAATTGTTGTTGCACGTGACCCAATCCAATCGTCTCAAGGTATCTGAACACTAGTATAGTTGCCACAAATAAAAAAAAATGACGGTTCTCGGTTGGTACCAATAGGATGTATGCCACGACTACCGTACTCGTATGTCGGTACTGGTGTGCCTTGAGTAACTTCAACCTCAAGCGCCACGTTGTGACATACTCTTTACATCTTACGGTACAAAAGGTTATGTTCGTGCCACTACCTAACACCTACGTGTTGCTGCCGCAGGTCTTGCTCCCCGTTTCGCGCTCTCTGGGTTGGTATCGATCGTTTCTGTAGGACACTCCTGCCTGCCGATAGCGTTGAAGCAATGCTCTCTCCAAGACTTTGCGAGTCCGTTAGAGGCAAGAGGTTCAAGGCTTCCCGCAAACGAGAAATGCAACTCGCCATAGCTTTACCGCCACCGGGGAGGGTGTCTTTCACCAGATATCTGAGCAAAAGCAAGGCCAAGTGGTAGGTAGCAGCAGGTAATTCGAGTTTTTTTCTGCAGGAGAAGGTGATATCCATGCTTCGAATAACAAAAACGAATAATGCAGGCCTCGCTGCAAAAGGAACACCGTACGAAAAGCCTCCAACTTGAGACAGCACTTTAACCATACACCCAACAAACTCAACAAATCCCACCAAAACCACCACCTGCCACTCTTGACGTCCACGGACACTTCCACGCCCCCACCCCCCCAAGGACAAATGTAGGCGCTGAGCCCGCCCACAGTGGTCACCCGCGGAACGCAAGCTCTGGAAAAACGAATTAGCGAGGTCAGAACGGAACGAGCAGTTCGGAGGTTAGTGCCACTTCTCTAATGGTGATTGGCCCTTACAAACACTAGTCCACGCCCACGAACCGACAGTACAGTGAATGTTACCGCAAGTGACGACCCTATATCTGGCCCCCACATGAGCAAAAGTCACCGAAAGCGCCAGCAGAACCTGGCACATGTCGTGGCAGAGGGTGATTTACCGTTCGGTAAGAAACGCTTGCGGATGGAACATAATCTGCTGTGGGGGTCTTTCGACCTATTCATCCATGACTTAAATTTGTGAACAAAAGGGTGTAGCACTTTCTAGCTGAACACGAATTGTCATAAAATAGTAATATTCAAGACGAACCGTCTCTAAGCGCCACATTCAGACATACCATGCCAACAAATCAAATTGAGCAAAAATATCTCACCCGAGTTGCGCCGCATATGACTCCACATCTGCTGCCAGCGTGTTGACCTTTTGTGAGGCAAATATTCGGGCGGCAGCCAACAGCATTCGCGCGCAACTCAGCTTGTCCGGATATATCTGGACCGAACTGGTCAGCAGCGAATCTACCGCGGACGTCTCCTCGTCCGTAGTCACAGAGTGATCCCCCACGTCGCTGCCCAGCCCTCTCCCTTCAAGGAACTCCCCCGGCGGTCCAAGAGCGGCCACTATCTGCAAGTCCAGGACAGAAAGTCAACAGGTATTGCAATCAGCCGAGGCCTTCCACGGTTCATTTATCTCCGTAGCACAACATTGGCACTGGATCTGTGTCACTTCCAGACACGTGTATACATATGTAGCTGGGGCGTCATGACGAAACGCAACGAAAGTTGTCATCAAGAAGTTGTCATCACGCTCTCCTCACTGCACTATTGGCTGAGCCCGTACAAAACGCATCAGCGTGACAAAAGTGCCTGATTCACACGCAGTGGGCTCAGTACGAACGTTCGTTACCTGGCTATTTCTGTCCATCGGCCTATGCACGCGCAAATACCGACATCCAACAGGGGGCGGTGGCAAGGAGTCCTCCGCTTCCGTTGCCTTCAATCTCGAGCCAGTTGCGACCTGCTCTCGACGAAGCGGGGCTTCCCCAACACGGACGCCTCCGACGCCGACATCTCGCCCAGTGCCGCCGAGTCCAACACTGAACTCTCGTTGCCACAGGCAAAGATCGAGGACCTACCAGGGGGTGCACGGCAGTTCGTTGAAAGTCGCGACATGACGGTTTATCTCGTCGTTCAAGAACTATGTAGCAACAGCAAGAATATTTTATATAGAGCTGGTCAGAGCCACAACATGACAGCAGACGGCAGGGATCCAATACACAGATATCAGGAGAGCGAACACCCACAAGCTTGTACGAGCCATTCGCTTCCCACCACATACACATAGCGTGTGGGCTTGCCTTCAGAGCAGCAGCTCACAGGGTAGACTTGCCTGAGAGTCCTTGTGGAACATCACTGCAAGCTGCGCGGCCCACAAGCCTCCTACCCTCGTCGCCAGTTTCTGAGCCTGCGCGTGTAAAATTTCCAGCACCATGCTGCAACACAGGTCGTGGCACACTTGATACGCCGCAAGCAGAGCGTTCGGTCTCGGGTTTGCGTCACCGTCCGCGTGCACATCCATCGCTTTTTGGATCACCTCGTGAAGATACCTGCCAGCAGTGCCGTGGGGGGAGCTTTGCTATGATGCACACATCTGCCGACAAGCAGAAACCAACTGGCAGTTCGCGGTCCCTTAAATGGTCGATAGTCATCGTGAAAGCGCAACAGAACTAACATATGACCTTCACCCTTCCACCGACCTTTGCTGACGAAAATCTCGCACAGGTGCGGTGATCGACTCTCCTTCCCTCGCCTGCACCAGCAACGTGACCCCTAGCAATGCCCACCTAGCATCTTCCCGTTCAGCTTGGAGAGTGACCATGAGCTACAAGGGGGAGAGCAGCAATACAAGACGATATTGTACGATCACAGAGTGGACGAGACAGGTAGAACACAACGGTTGCTCTGTACCAGGGTGATAACGCGATATCATGGTGCTGCAACAAGGTTGTGAGCTAAAGCGGTTCGCGAGGGTCGCGCCATGATTTGCCTCTCAGAGCAGCACAGCACGACCGAACGTAAAACGCAACAAGCTTCTGTGCCCTCCAGTACAACTTCACTACTCATGAGTACGGTGGGATGCAGCTTGCTATCTTCGAAGCAGGACTTGGGCCTGCGGCCCGATATCTCGACAGCTGAAAGAGTACCATTGGGGGAGAGGGTACCATTGTTCCGGAAATTGATCTCACACAACTTCGACACTTTCCATGACCAAGCGCAGAACTTCGTTCGTACCACCGTGCATTCTCTCGAGTCATTGCGGAATGTCCCTTGGCATCACCGTTGTCAAGAGGAATGCGGTGTGCTTAAAAGGATCGGCTTTCGGGGTCCGACCTGTTGCTCCGCGATACAGGATGCTCGCTCAACAACATCTCACCTCAAACTCTCCGTTGACCGTGAGCGTGAGCACGCCGTTTTTCACGGTGTGGCTTGTGAACTGATTGGGGACGCCGCCCCTTCTCAAAAGAGCCAAACGTATGGCACGGTCCACTCTTAGCACAATCTCCTCGCGATTCGCTGGCAGCTGCGGGGGGTGTCAGTATAAATGGTTTGGTCACCTGGCAAGCTTGGAAGGCTGTGTTGGAAAGGAATGTCAGAGGATATCTCTTCGACCAATATTTGATATATTCAGTGCAGCTCTCCAAAACCACGTCGACTTGGGTTGAGGTGTGGAGCAATTTCCGGGCAAGGAAACGAAAAGTAAGCAATACTTGTACGGTGGTGCTTAGGTGCAGCAGCAGCACCGTTCCAGACAGAAAAACACGTGAGTAAGAAACATACAGATACACGGATGACAGACCTCGAAGATAGGGCGCGGGTCGATATCGCCTCCGCAATACTCTATCCCTTTCGGCAGGTGGGGATACCGTCCCCCGATGAGGACATCCACTGCAACAGGTACGTCGTAGAGTCGCTGACGGGCGCCGAACAGCCCCCCGTGCATGAAGAAGAATTGGTCTTGGCACTGGTGGCACGAGACACAAGTACAACAATACGTGTTGTGACATTTGGTCAGATGAATTGAGTGTAAATACAGATACAGCAGTAGCTGCATCATTACTCCACAGGTGATATTTAGGGAATGCTACAGCAGTACTGCTGTTCATGTGGGACAAATACGAGGTAGTCTGGAGGAAGTAGAAGTGCAAAGGCATCTTGGCTCGGTAGAGTCAATACATATGCTGGCTGCTGTATGGATAATTTGACTAGGTCGCGGTGTCGCGGCTGCAGTCCTTCCCACACACGGTCATCAACATTGCCGGACAGATCAGACCCCACCATATTGGTTTGAAAGTCCATCCTCAATACTTGTAACTGACTACCAAACAACGACCGGCGGCGAGCAAGCTATCTTCGGAGCCAAACCATCTGCTACAGCAGTAGCCACAGCAGGAAAAACCAGAGCACGTTCACTCAGAATCAATGTACCCAACGCGTTGTCTCGTGCGATGCTGTGGGGTGCCGCCCCAACCGTGTTGCGTGTTTTACAGCAGTACATTCATAACTCACCGCATCAATCTGCTCGCGTTGAGATCGAGCTTCAGCGAGTGCATTGCTCGCATTCGCAACTAATTCCCCATGATTTCCAGATAGCCAGCTGATGATGGCATATGCCTTGAGGAACCGCGCCCGGTTGGATCGGATGTAGTCGAGCAAGTCCTCCCGGCGAGAGTCATGATTGACACGGCTCAGAATGTTCGCCAGACGACGAATGTCGTGGAAAGCGCGATCCGTTTGTCTTAGACAAAGTTCCGAGGCCAGTAGAGTGGAAAGAGGAGCCAACAGCCTTCCCTCTACATCCTCCCCCGAAGGCGTGCCCTCCATCTACCGCTGTTGCTGGCTGCGGTGCTTGCAACACTGGCAGCCATGATGACGACTTGGGGTTCCAGGGTTTCCATACGAAGAGGAAGGGGGGCGAAACCGTCCGATCTTTTAACGTTGTCTTACCGTATATTTTTCACTTCGTTTACGTACACCCCCGATCTTTTTGGCCAGCAGACAAGGGCGGAGAAGGGGTGCGACACAGGGCCTCACCATCCTCCATGATCTAGTCGATACTAAATCCCCGGCTTTTTTAGTTGGGTCACATCGTTTTTGGAACATGCCCGATCGTTCAGATGCACGGACCGCGTGGATCCAGCAGCGATTGCTTCTCGGGCTTGGCCTGGAAGAAACAGAGTTTGACTACTTGCTCGATGAGCCTCCGGCCAAGTCAAACACTGGTGGCAGAGACCCAGCTGTGGTTTCGCGTGCTGAAGACACCCTGCGTGATTTTCTCGGAACAGCTGGGGTAGGGTCCTCGTTGTTTTTCCACGTTGAAACGGAGGACGTGGAGGAGTCTGAAGAATACGACGAAGAATACCAGGAATCTGAGGCTGTTCTAGAGGGGAACCAGGCGGTCAGCGAAGCCCCGTCTTTGCCAGAAGGCGAGGGAACCACGGTTGAACAAAGATCAATATCAAGCGATGGAAAACCGACGGTTCCCACAGAGAGTCCGTCGGAAGACCCGGCCGTAGCAACAGTGGAGGGCTCCGATGCGCTAGACGCGGCTTCCGCTGAGGAACCGGAAGGAGAAGCCAATATTTCAGAATCAGACCAATCGGCGGTGCCTGAGGTGAGAGTGGTGACCAAAACCCGCAAGGCATTGCGAACAGTCATTACCAACAAGAGGCGGTGTCGTCTGATGCAAGGGAATCTGCCAGACAACGTGGACAAGGTCGTGTACTTCGTAAAAATAGTGGGCGGTGAGGTTCCAAGGCCGGCGTCAACCAGCGACCACGACAGGATGGTAGCAGCAATGGAGTACGGATGTCTTGCTGGTGACTGCCTCACTAACCTGTCTGCCGCTATCAAGGAAGTATTTGCGCCGCTACTTGACCATCAGCTAGGCCTGAGCGTGTTGACAGCCGGGATAAATGGGGTAGGAGACAAGGCGTCTCCCGATGCCAATGCGGCAATACCGCAGGATGCGCCTAAGGTAGGCGACAACCTTCGGAACGAGTTCCGTGCCAATCTTCACAAGTTCGAGTCGCAAGTGACTCATGCTACGCAACAGGTCAAAGGCGACGTGCATCTGTCGGTACCAAACATCAACATCGATGACCCGGATATTGGAAACGATTTCGAAGCTGTTTCATTGCTCGAGGGCGCCACGGAAGAGTGGAGCCGACTGATCGCCGCGGTGGTGGAGGCAGAAAACCTTAAGCGTGTCAAAGGGAAGGGTCCAATGGCGGAGATTGAGTTTTGGCGCCGAAGGAATGCCTCTCTTAGTGCTCTTTACGAGCAAATCAACATGCCCAAGGTGAGGGTTGTAAAGCCACGCCTTTGTGGAAGCATTCCAACGTTCACGTTTTGTACACCCCTACACCGCAGTCTGTTTGCATAACAGATCAGGACAATTGCAACCATTGACGGCACCTTATCTGCATGCTCTCATCGGTAATTTGAGTGGACAGTTTTCTGCATGGTTTGCTTCAAGAACCAACTGGCTCCTCAAAACAGGTCGGTGTGACCCGCTCGTCGAAGACCGCAGCCCACCGCCGCATTGCACCATGGAGTTTCGTGGTCATCAACGTAAATATTCAAATGTTCATAAGTACGTTGATGCCCCTCGCTCGGAGTCGGACATGTTTATCGCCCGAGTTTTCATAGGTATACCGTCACAAATCTTCTTCTTTTGAGCTTGTCCCGTTCGTCAACACACATGTTCAAAAGGTCCAGAGAATGTTGAAGGTCATGGACGAGGTAGAAGCACCCATGTTGCCGACCTTCAACTATCACTTCTCGGAGCTGTCAAGACTGTACATCGAGGCAAAGGACAACGTGAAGTGAGACAATTTGAGCTGTTTGTCTTCGAGCTGCAAACGTGTGAAATGTGGTAGATCTTGGTCGCTAGGCGTGGCTTGCGAGGAAATTGTCCGCGTAGTAAGTAGGTTTGCACGTAAATTTATTATCGTACCAAGCTAGATTGTGGTTGTAACACGTTGACCCGGACCCGAAACTGGCCGCAGGTTTCTCACCACGCTCGAGCGCCACTTCAAGAACATCAGCCAAGGGTCTTTTGGCGTGACTCTCGACACCCTACCTTCTATGATGAACGCTATCCGCATGGTGTGGGTCATCAGTCGTCACTACAATACGGATGAGCGCATGGTGCCGCTGATGGAGCTTATTGCTGGAGAGATCGCGGGGAAGGTGCAACTAGAACAACCAACCTAACCAATCAACGAGCCACGCTCTCATCGTCGATTTCCACGTACCTATACTCGCCTTCCTCTTTCGGAATGCTGCCCTCGACTTTTCTGCCAAAAAATTGACGGACGCGTGACGAGCGTGCATTCTCACGGCCCGCTCCTCAATTTTCGTTATTTGCTCCTCCCACGGTGGTCGAACAACAGGTGGAAACTCGCATCAACATCCGCACGATTCTTCAAAAATCCCCCGAGACTGCCAAGCACATGGTTACGGAGGCTCGAAAGGTTTTGGAGTCTTGGCATGCAACCTACATGGATGTTCGTCATCGTATCGAAGAGTCTGGAACTGATCACCGCTGGGAGTTTGATCGGAAAAGATTGTTCGAGCAAACCAACTACATGGCAAGAGTGTGTGGAGACTTGCTCGAGGTGAAGATGCAGCCCGCACATTTCGTTCAACCGGAGAGACAAGAGCTAGGAGAGTTTCAACATCTTGTTTCGATGCCTAATTCTCGTGAAAATATTGTAACCAAATCCCACAACAACTGAGCAATAGTAGGCGTGTTGCGTTGCTTAGCCCAAAAATGTGACCGCCCACTTTCAATGATGTCGACACATACACGCGAGAGAATCCGTTCGTTTCCCGAAACCTTCAGGTCGCCACGGTATTGGATCAATTGCACAAGTTCCTAGGGCCTGAGCTCAAGGCAGTGACCGGAGAATCAGCCGGAATCGACGAAATAATGGATAGGGTGGAAGGCCTAGCGCTGCCGTTGAACAAGGTAATTTCCCAAGACGACGATGAGTATAGATTCGGGAGTGGAGGATGCGGGGCTAACCTTGCCCTGAGTCGAGCACTACACTTATTGAGGTGTCTCCAGCTTGCGAACAACCATTTCATCTATTAACCTGTTGTGCGATTAAAAATCAGTCCTGCTGACTAGTCTGTTGTTCATGATAGTAAGACGTCCGTTTCTCTCAATCCACAACCAAGCGGCGACACGGTCAGGGGTGAACATTGCCAGGTCCATGCATACTGGGCATGCGTCTCACTTCGGCAGCACTCAAGCAAAAGTCAAAGCCGTGCCCTCTATTAGAACGTATATGCATACGATGCACGTGGATTCGAGTGTTTGAGATATTGGTGGCGGCCTCTGGTGTTCTATCCTGCGGTATACGACGATGTTCTGGTGCTTGTACTGGTCTCGACTTCCGACCCTATCCCCGCTCGTCCGTTATCCTCATTGCGTTCCTGACTACTCTGGGTGGTTACGGAAGGTCCCTTTTGATATATTCGACCGGAAGTACAAAGACAGCTGGTACACAGTCATGCAGCAGTTTCGGCAACAGGTCGAGGAAATTGAAGACATGACCAAGTCCTTCATTGAGCAGTCTTTCCAGAAATTGCGCTCAGCCGAGGGTGCCTTCGAGCTTGTGCAAAATTTCCAAAATATCCAGAGCCGAGAGAGCATCAACCAGTCCATCGATGAGAGATACAAGGACATACTGTCGCAATACACGAAAGAACTGGATCACATCGGGGCGATTTTCTACGCTCACAAGGCTTCACCCCCCATTTACAAGAACTACCCGCCGGTAGCTGGTTCGATTGCTTGGGCGCGTGATCTTTACAACCGGGCTAAAACACCTATTTTGAGGTTCAAGGTGAGCTCCGGCATGACCTTCAAGCAAAACACTGAACGTTCCGCTCGTGGTGAACTACCCTCGTTGGCGTCCGCGCTATGTAGTCAATATGTGTTGTTTATGCTTCAAGCGCGAACCATGCATGCAATATGCTCAGCTTGGAGTAGCCCACAGCGATACGATCAAGAACGAGGAGAGTACTCGCTTGTTGGCCGCTTTCGCCAGAGGTTTAGCTTTCTATGCGTTTCGTCGCCTGCAAGTCTCATGTGTATACACGCCCCACAACTCCTACAAACACACCAGGCCCACGAAGGGCTGCTCACCAGCGCATTCGGAGAGCAAGTCAAGCAGCGATACCTGGTATTCGCTCGAGCGGTGGATGCATATAGTACTCACTTGTATACGGAATGGGAGCAGCGTGTGGGGGCCGTGGCCACTGAAAAGCTAAAGCAGCCAATCCTGTGCGCGCTATCTGCGAGCAGAGGGCAACCTACGGCAGAAAGTGCGGTGGACGGTGCTGGCAAGGAAGCACTTGGCCATACGTTGACCAACCCCGCAAGAAACAAGGGACAAACCCACCAGCAATCTACATCGTTTACCGAGTCTAGAGGGTCTGGGAGGCCATCGCCCCCTTATGGGGTCAATTTTGCGACAGAGCTGCACATGATTATTCGAGAAAGCAAGTACCTGGATCGCATGGGCTTTCAGGTGGGCGCTGGCGTGCTGCGCTTCCCCATGTACAACATGCGTGTTTCGGGTCGCTCCAACTGAATATTTCCTTTGTAGCGAGCAACGACAATCATACACGGACATACGTTCCCAATCAAACAACTAGATACCGCCATGTGCTGAGAGATGGCCAGGCATGCTCGGTGTCATGACGTCCGCGCCTTTCTGCGGTACCGCCGGCTCTAACTGAGTCTTGTTCACTGAGAGAAAATGCTGGTGTACCTGAATAGGCTGTAAACTGCCTTGAAATCGTTGCTACAATAGGTTCCCGAGGCTGCCCTCAACGTGGCGCTTCAAGAAGACAAGTACCACAAGTACATTCAAGACATGCACCTCATGCTGAAGAACTACGACGTCCTCGTCGGCAGCCTGACGCAAGTGGAAACACGCTTGCTATCAAGACAGCTGCAGCACCTTCAGGCGGTGCTTAACACGGGATTTACTCCGCTCAACTGGAACAGTCAACGGATTCCTTCATTCATTGAGACATGTAACAAGGCTCTCAACGAGTTTTCCGGAATTGTCAGCCAGATTCACAAGAGCTCAACGATGATTCGGGAGGTGGTGTCAAGGTGAAGGAGTACCAGAATCCGGCGCCAAAATCAGTGCTGTTTGATACACTTGAGCACATTCGAAAAGTCTACGGAGGATTTACATGATACTTTGCTTCACCCACCAAAGGTGCCTGTCCTACCTTCGGACTGTGCCATTCCGATTGCCATGCACCACGACCCTACACAAGAAGACCTCCTTTTCAGCATTTCATACGCACTGCCTGAGGAAAACTGTCCGTCGGGAACATTCGTCGTTGTCCCCACCGCCGTCTGAAACTTGTTACGTTTTTACAGCATCGAGAATATGCTCCTTATGCAAGAGAAAGACTTTGAGACGCCAGATGGACCTCGTGCTCCTATGGACGTAGCTGAGTTCTACGACTCGTTGGAAACGAAGCGCATGGCACGGCTCGATGGTCTGGTGCAACAGTACAACAGCATTGAGAGCTTACTCATCAAGGTGACGTCTCCGTCGAATGTACCGCAGTAGCCGTCGAGGATCCCATTTCTATTGCGCCGTCTCCCCTCAAGATTGACCTGGAATTTGGCGACGCCATAGAGCGTAGGGGCGGTCGTCATGTGCTGCGTAATTTAGCTCAGTCATTCGACGATTTTCCTCGCAACCATTCCGGGATGGAGCAACGTCGTCACTACTAACAACACATGCCGGGTGCTCTTGTTGTTTCTGCAATTTTTTACCTAACCCGCTCTTGCTTGTCTCATCCTGCTTCATTGGGCACCGTTTCTCTGTACTCGTTTTCTCGACATGTAATAAACCAAATCATCTTCTCCATCTCTTTCTCAAGGGGGCGTCGTGCTTCCCTGGTGCATATTCTGCTTGTCTCCATCTCTTCTGTCTTGCCGCCTGTGTACGGAGGTCGTTTGAGCATTCTCTCGGTGTCGACTCACTGTTTTTTGTTACAGTGGTTGTCATCGAAATGCAATGAATGTATTGACCGACATGTAAACATGTTGCCTTGGCGGCCGTACCTGTCAAATTGTACAAGGTTTGACCCTACATGTGTACGAACGACAGGATGTGTCAAACCAGGAATCTCAGATTTTTGGATCCCTAGGAGTCTACCCCCGAGGTTGCCCTTTTCACAAATCCCCCCCCTGCCCAGTAGTGTCCGTTCTTCCGTTCCCGGGTGAGTTTCACCGAAATGCTAGCCCCCGAGGTTTTCACAGAGGGTGATCTAGGGCAAGGCTTTTGCGTACTTCGTCTATGTGCATTGTCTGACTCTGGTCTTCTTGATCTGGCCCACTACCGAAGTTTGTTTCTGTTTTTACCGATTGTTGTGGATTGCCAAAGTTTGGAGGAAGTTGCTGCGATGGTACAAACATTACATGCCGATGACCCCGCCCAACTTTCCAACCCTTGTTGTACATATATACCCAGGTGGAAGAAGTTGTGGCTGGCACAAACACTGGCATGTCGCTGTCACTGGCAGGGTATTATCACTACTGGGAAAAGTGCATCTTCAACGCCATTACAAAATGCATCATCTCTAGCATGGCGACGTTCTTGGCATTGCTGCAGAGCAAGGATCGCCCCCCGTTGTGTGAAGTCAAGGCGAACCTCAACGGCAAAGACTTGGTGGTGACACCGACGGTCAACGATATTTACAAGTACCTCACCAAGTCGGTCAAGCACATTGTGGAATCAGCACGCATGTTTGTGCGTTGGATGCATGGTACCTGCTGCCAAACAGCCCCGCAGGTGAGCAAGATTGTAACGCATGCAGTACAGCTTCTGGATGAAAAGGAACTACACCGTTTTCCGTTACGCCGCTCGCGCCGCTTTCGAAATATATTATACACCAATGCCAGCATATATGGGGACGATCGTCTTCTGACCGGTTGCAGGGTCTGGCCGAATTTCGTATGTGCAGGTTGTTCACGAGGAGGAGGAGCCGCTTGTGTTTTCATTCTACCAAGACATGAGCAAGAACCCCCACGTGATCAAGCTGATGCTCCAGCTAAATCAAGCAATTCACAAGGTATTCTCGATGATGAACAAATATCTAGACGGCTGGCGGCGGTACGACACTGTGTATAACTTGTGGAATCCCAAGCGGAAGAAGGCTTTGGAGAAGCTGGCGGAGAAAAAACATACCTGTGTCTACTTCGATACTCGCATCGCTAGTTACGAGCTGCTCGCCGAGACAGTACGAGCACAACCCAGCGAAAAGGATGTGGATTTCATTCGAATAGACTGCTATCCAGTCGCGGTCGGAATCGCTGCTCAAGCAGACCAATGGAAGACAGACTACGGCGCCGTGCTGCACCAGTGCTCGTCAGCACTTTTGGAAGACCTCTGCGGGAAAATGTCTCAGGTGAGCCGGTGGGATTGTTTCGACATCTTGTACACGCCTAGGTGAAAAGTATGTTATCGCGTGACTAGCCTTCCAGCTGGCGTACTCGAACGTCTTTGTTGCTCATCTCTTGCCACAGCAGTATCGCCCTGAAGGTGTCGTCGCGTGACAGTTGTCCCCTTTGCGAAAATCTGGACGACCGAGTCCCATGCATACATGATCCCGGCTCACCTCATATTTCTCAAAAGTATCCCTACACTGCCTACTTGTGGTTTTCCCTCAACTACTCAGTTGGAAGCGGACCTCAGAGCCGATCCTCAAGACCTGGACGCTCTCAAGTTTGTCCTCAACACGATCGCCGCTATTTCGGGAATGGGGATGGACATTGAGCTCAGCTACTTAGACACCATGGAGCGGTATCGTACTTTGCAACAGTATGACATTCCTGTCCCACCAGACGAAATGGCTAAGGCACAGGGCATCGCCCTTAGATGGCAGGCCTTGTTTATGGAGGCTAAGACAAAGGACCTGTGCCTCGTGAGGGTGAAAGAACGCTTCCGGGAGGTGACCAAGGAGCAAGCGGTCGGGTTCCACGCCGAGTTGAAAGAAATGGAGGCGGCTTTCAAGGCGACCGGGCCAGGAAATTCCAATACGGAACTTGAAGACGGAGTGCGCCTCCTCGCCGAGTACCAGCAACGGGTGCAGGTAGTTTGCTGGCTATATTCCCGTCAGTTCGGAAAAGTGGACGAGCAATCATCAAATGCATTCTATGAAAGTCGATCGATCGTATCGAGGAGCACCCGGTAGGAACGTTATTGTTCCCCACTGTTATTTTTGCCTATGAGACTCTCTATAAACTATTAAAATAAACAATTGAACAGGTGTGTATGGCCAGGAAGCTGGAGCTGGTGAACGCAGAAGGGTTGTTCGGTCTAGATACCACTGAGTACCCCGAGCTTCAGCGGGTGGTGTCGGAGTTGAAAAAGCTTGGGCGTATCTACGATCTCTACCAGGAACAGCGCGACTTCGAGGACGGCAACAGCGCCACACCGTGGGGTGACCTCGACGTCGGTTCGCTTCAGCGAGGGGTGGAAGTGTTGGAGAAGAAGGCTCGCAAAGAGAAACAGTTCAAGGAACATCCTACATTCCGGGCAGTCGAAGCACGCATCTTCAACTTCAAAGACAGCATTCCCCTGATTGTTAACCTAAAAAATGAGGCGATGAAGCCAAGGCATTGGCAGAAGCTGATTGAGGTGAGCCACTGCCTGACATTGCGAATATAGGTAGGCTTTCGTACATTAACAAGTGGTAAACCACAGCCGAACCCTGTAATGATCCTGTCTCTTCTTCTTGCCGCCCCGCCACTCTATCCGCCCTACTTGGCAGATGACCGGAGTTAAGTTTGATCCGAGCAACTTTAAGGCACTCACGCTCGGCAACATTTTCCAAATGGAGCTTCACCGTTTCACCGCGGATATTGATGATATCGTCAACGAGTCTGTGCAAGAACTCAAAATCGAGAATGAAATTCGGAAGGTCGAGGCAACATGGAGAAAGACCGACCTCGTTCTCGCCAAATATCAGAAGAATGGCGTCGACCGAAGTTACGTGCTGAAGGCTGCAGACGAGATCAAAACCGAGCTCGAGGACAATCTGCTGAATCTGCAAACCATGTCCTCGAGCAGGTTTGTGGGGAGTTTCGCGGATCAGGTGCGAGGGCATCCAAGTACGGATCTATGCAGTCCTACTGTAGCTGATATGGTTCCTGAGACGTACCATACGTAAGTTGGCGATAACTTCTACAAACGAGTCGACGCGCGACGTCATGTACGTGCGACACGACGTTGGTCTTACTCGAGTGTTGTACTGCTCCTCTTTGATGGTACGAACCAGGTGCGCGGTTGGGAACGCACGTTGAATCGAGTAAACGAGACACTCGACATGTGGTACACAGTACAACGCAAGTGGATGTATTTGGAGAGTATCTTCGTGGGGGCCGAGGATATTCGTTTGCAGCTACCGGAGGAGGCCAAGAAGTTCGATGCCATCGACAAGGCATTCAAGCAGGCAAGATATACTTATAGTACCATCATGAGGTTCAGTCAGGGTCGCGCTTTCCACACTTTTCTTTTGGCTGTTCATTGATCCAGAGGAGGAGAACAATGTCGAAGAGCGTGACATCGGTTGACGCAGCGGCGTTGGTACAAAACGCTTTTCTGGTGCCCTCGACTTATAAGCGACGGGCCACCTCGGTCGTTTGAATGACTCCTGCCGCGAGCCTGGATAGACATGCCATTGGAGGATTGATGGCTGCTGCTGATCTTGGGCCGCCGTTGCCATTTGCTGCACCGCAGATCGGCACCCAGACCTACCAGAATCCCAATGTTGTGGAGGCCTGTACGACCGAAAATCGTCTGGAAACTTTGGAAAACCTCAGCGAGCGACTGGACGCCACCCAGAAATCGCTCTCCAACTACTTGGACACGAAGAGAAACGCTTTCCCCCGGTTTTTCTTCATCTCCGATGATGAGCTCCTTTCTGTTCTGGGGTCTAGCGACCCGACCTCTATTCAGGTATGCGGCGAAAAGAAAGAGTGTGATTGTTCCGCGTCGTGGCCTCCCGCCCCGTGAGGTGTAGTGGCGAGCTTGACTTGCCTTCATGGTCCAAATCAGTGGGCTACACGCCTGCCAAACCTGTATTGCAAGTATATGTTTTGTGTGTGGTCGATAGATGTTCAATCACTAACATTTCTCATTGGCGTCCCAACGCGGGGAACGAGAGGTGAACCGCCAAACACTGTCGTGTTACCGTCCTTGGATCATTGATCTCGCGCCTCAGGTCCACCTGCTCAAGCTTTTTGACAACGTCAAGTCTTTGTCGTTCGGAAGAGGAGGAAAGCATGTACTGGGCATGGGCTCCAGTGAAGGAGAAGTGTTTCAACTCCGAGAGCCGGTGGCCGTAGAAGGGGCGGTTGAGGTCTGGATGACTGCAGTAGAGAACGAGATGACAAGCTCCCTTCGTTCTATTACCAAGGAAGGAGTGTTTCGGTACGCGAACGAAGCGCGCCAGGAGTGGATAACAGCTGTTCTGGGGATGGTTTCGCTTGTCGGCAGCCAGATATGGTGGACCTGGGAGGTAAGATAAAGGAGATCCACTCGTACTCAACGTTACTCGTACTCCTCAAAAAAATTTCACTGCAGAGAGAGATTGAATCGCCTATCTAACACCACGAACTGTGAAAATTCACTTCGTAGACAAATTTCGCGTAAGACACGAAATACATCATGGAATACCTCGCACGTCGTTCGCGGGAAGTTTGCATGACTTTGAACCAATCAAAAAGCACCACCTTTTTGCCTGTGATATAAGCTATTAAATAGCCCTCGGTTGTTGTGCGTTGACCCCACAGGTGGAAGACGTGTTTCGGCAGGTGGCAGATGGCAACAAGTATGCCATCAAGGATCTCGAGGCAAAGCTAACTGCGCAACTCAACGCCCTCGTCGCTCTTGTTCGAGAGAAGCTCAGCAGCCACGCACGAAAGAAAGTAAATACGCTCCTTATCATCGATGTTCACGCTCGCGATATCGTGGATGGATTCGTGAGAGAATCAATTCTGAACGCCAAGGAATTTGCATGGGAAAGCCAACTACGCTTCTATTGGGATCGGGATGTAGATGACTGCATAATCAGGCAGTGCACGGGAAAGTTCAGCTACGGCTACGAGTACATGGGTATGAACGGACGATTGGTCATCACCCCACTCACGGACCGTTGCTACATGACGTTGACTCAAGCGTTGACATTCAAACTTGGAGGTGCCCCAGCTGGCCCCGCGGGGACGGGCAAAACGGAAACAACGAAAGACCTGGCAAAGTCCTTGGCGCTCCCCTGCTTCGTGATCAACTGCGGCGAGGGCCTTGACTACAAGGTGAGCTAAGCACGCCGTTACTGTTTGACGATGTCTACGTGTTTGTTTCGGTTCTGTCGTGCTTCGTGCCCCCCGTCCGTGTCAAGCGACACAATGACAAAGAGAAAGTACGCTTGCTTCGTAAAACCCCTACCTACCATTGTGATGCCCTTTGCAACTACCAGGCGATGGGATCTATATTCGCGGGCCTGGTTCAGGTGGGGGCATGGGGGTGCTTTGACGAGTTCAACCGCATCAACATTGAGGTTTTGTCGGTGGTGTCGGCACAACTGAAAGCCATCCAGAACTCCCTCATCAGCGGCAAGCCCACGGTGGACATTGGAGTTGGAGGGGAGATCAAAATCAAGAGAGTTGCTGGCTTCGCGACATGCGGGGTGTTCATCACGATGAACCCAGGATATGCCGGGCGTACTGAGTTGCCAGACAATTTAAAAGCACTCTTTCGTCCCGTGACAATGATTGTGCCGGATCTGCTCCAAATCTGCGAGATCATGCTCTTCTCTGAGGGGTTTGAGGCCGCCAAGGTGAGAAAAAACTATCCTCCGCGCACCTGCCTTGCCCGGGAAGTAGAGCTTACAGAGCTTACAGACTATCTAGGCATCCAATCTATTGTCTTGACAGGAGATCGTTGGCACTGCGCACCCGTGGTCGCCATGACAAGTACCCTATACAGCACGTAGTATCATGCCAGATTTCGAGGCCAGACAAATTTCTAGGCCAGTCACGCATGTTCTTTGATACCTGCAATCTACCAAACCCGCCGTCTGTATGGTGCACGAGTATCCCATTCCACTCTTCTTCAGACATCACACGAAAGCAATTGAGATCCTCGTGTATATTACCTTTTTTTCGCTTCTTCTAGGTTCTAGCCAAGAAGATGACAGTTCTGTACAAGTTATCCAAGGAGCAGCTCTCGAAGCAGTACCACTACGACTTCGGTCTACGTGCTCTTAAGTCTGTACTCGTCATGGCAGGAGGCCTGAAGAGGCAATATTCAGAGATGCCTGAAGACTTGGTACTCATGCGCGCTTTGCGTGACAGCAACATGCCCAAGTTCGTTTTCGAAGACGTACCGTTGTTCAAAGGCCTCATCAACGACCTGTTCCCGAATATGGATTGCCCGCGGGTGGGGTATGAGGATCTCAAAGTTGAGGTCAGGAAAGAGTTGGAGACCAAGGGATTCCGCTGTTCGGACGACCAAGTCTTCGATGATCAGGTGAATAACTAAGCTTCTGGAGCTACCGCGAGTGTGTTCTAGTGATTAGATAATCAGTTCCACTCTTTTGTAATGTACTTGGATCTTTCGAAGCTCTAAACGGAGTAGTCGCTGCATTATGGTATGGGGTGTACGACCCATCAAACTGACTCTCACAGCACCCACGAGTATCAGCATGACCTCAGGCGAGCTATGACTCATCCACGGACCCTGTCTCTTAGCTCACAGGATACAGTACATCCTCTAAATCGCTGCAGCCCCTGAGTCGACCAGATACGTGTCTCGAACACGAAGTGGTAATCTCGGCAACCTGTGTCAAAATCAACGTGCCAGGTGGACAAGTGCATCCAGATGTACGAAACCCAGATCGTACGGCACACAACGATGATAGTAGGGCCAACGGGCGGAGGCAAAACTCTCATATTGGAAACGCTGAAGAATGCTCGGTTGCCAGCGGATGGAACGGTAGTGAAAATGTTCGTCCTCAATGCCAAAAAACAACCCTTGAACGAACTGTACGGGGTGATGGACCCCGTCACGAGGGATTGGACTGACGGGATCTTGTCTAAGCTCTTCCGTGAGCTGAATGCCCCCCTCGCAGCTGGCAAGGAGAACGAGATACGTTTGATTGTCTTCGACGGCGACGTTGATGCAGTGTGGGTTGAAAACATGAACTCCGTCATGGACGACAACAAGCTGCTCACACTGCCCAACGGAGAACGCATTCGGCTTCAGCCCCACTGCGCGTTGGTGTGCGAAACGTTCGATCTTCAATATGCATCACCTGCCACCATCAGTCGTTGCGGTATGGTTTGGGTGGATCCGAAGAACCTGGGGTATACACCGTTCTACGAACGATGGGTGCGCCTTCGGTGCGGCGATGGGGTCGAGGTGTCAGAGGACCGGCAAACGGATGCCGATCTACTTATGGCCCTCTACAAGAAGTACGTTAAGCGGTGCGTGGACTACGTCCTCTCGGGACTAGTTGACGGACAACAGGTCGAGAAGCTACGTCAGGTCATTGCGATTCCCAACGTGGACATGGTGAAACAATTGTGCTCCAGCCTGGATGCTTTCCTCGGCGAGGGCGTGGAAGACCGGCACGACGTCGAAGGCGTCTATATTTTTTGCTTGGTCTGGTCGATGGGGGCAGCGCTGGTAAAGGACAGCCGTGACCGTTTCGACCAGTTCATCAAGAAGATTTCTGGCGAAGCTGTCCCGGCTGACAGCCTGTACAGCCACTTCTATGACGTTGAAAACCACAAGTGGGAGAAGTGGAAAACACGAGTGCCTGTGTACCAACAGCCAGACCCTTTCTGCTTCCACGAGATCATGGTACCCACGACGGACTCTGTCCTCTACACGCACCTTCTTGAGACGTTGGCACCGAAGAAGCCCCTCCTGATGGTCGGTGAGTCGGGTACTGCGAAGACTTTGACGATACAGAACTACATGAGTAGGCTCAATGCAGAGACCACATCTCGTCTAGTGGTGAACTTCAGCAGCCGGACGACGGCAAGGAACGTGCAGACGAGTATCGAAGCCAACGTCGATAAGCGTGCTGGGGCTACGTTTGCCCCACCCTCCGGCAAAACACTGGTTGTATTTGTGGACGATATGAACATGCCCAAGGTCGACACGTATGGCACGCAGCAACCTATCGCCCTTCTCCTGTTCCTAATCAGCAAGGGCACTCTTTACGACAATGGAAAGGATCTTAACTTGAAGTACATCAAGAACCTCAGCTATATTGCAGCGATGGGACCTCCTGGCGGAGGACGAAACAACGTCGATCCTCGCTTCGTTGCTCTCTTCAACGTGTACAACCTGATCGAGCCAAGCCCAGTCGTGTTGCACCATATCTACTCCTCAATAGTGTCTTCACGGTTGGTGAATTTCCCTGAGCCGGTGAAGGAAGCAAGCTCGAAAGTGACCGATGCAACCCTGAAGCTGTACAAAATCATCGTGGAAAGGCTCCCTCCGACCCCGTCGAAGTTCCATTATATCTTTAATCTTCGGGATCTTTCGCGGGTATACGAGGGGCTTTGCCTGGCCACTGAGGATATGTTCAGCACCGCGGATTCATTTGTGCGTCTTTGGCGAAACGAGTGCGTTCGCGTCTTTGGGGATCGCCTTTTTGTGGAAGATATGGGTATGCTGAGCACGGAGATTGAGAGCGCCATAAAGGCCGCTTGGCCCAACTCCACCGAATATGCCATGACAAACCCCTTGCTGGTGGGAGATTATGCCCTAGCAATCCAACGTTTAGTGGATGAAGGGGAGGATCCGCAGCTCTACCAGGATCTGGGCGACTATGACCGCACGCGCAAGGTGTTCGAGGAGGTTCTTGAAAACTACAACCTGGATCACAAGCCGATGAACCTGGTCCTGTTCGAATCGGCTCTAGACCACCTTACGCGTATATATCGCATCATTCGAATGTCTCGTGGGAACGCAATGCTTGTGGGCGTCGGAGGGTCGGGAAAAAAGTCTCTGACGCAGCTGGCTGCTTACTGCGCTGGCTACACTGTTTTCTCAATATCTTTGGTGCGCAACTACGGAGAGACGGAGTTCCGAGAGGACTTGAAGCAATTGTTCAAGCGACTAGGGGCCGGCCCGGTTGTTTTCCTCTTCACGGATGCACACGTGGTCGAGGAGGGCTTTCTCGAGTTCATCAACAACATCCTGACAACCGGGATGGTGCCGGCTTTGTTTGAGAAGGATGAAACAGATCAGTGCATTAATTCCGTGCGGAAGGAAGTCAAGGCGACGGGCGTTCCAGACACCCCTGACATCTGCTGGGCTTTCTTCGTTGAGAAGTGCAGAAACAACCTACACGTGGTGCTCGCTATGAGCCCATCTGGAGACAAGCTTCGCGTCAGGTGCCGAAGCTTTCCAGGTCTTGTTTCTGCGAGCGTCATTGATTGGTTCCAGCCTTGGCCCGCAGACGCCCTGCAGAAGGTTGCTGAATACTTTCTACAGGACGAGCAGCTTCCAGAGGAGCTCCGGGAACCGATCGTGGAGCATTTGGTTTTCACTCACCAGAGCGTTGTCACCTTTTCCGAGCGTTTCGCGGACGAAATGCGTCGCTACTATTACGTGACTCCGGCCAACTACTTGGATTTCATAGCCAACTATCGCACGGAGCTCAAAGAGAATAACCGAACCATCGAGAGTAGCGTCAAGCGACTGGAGGGGGGGCTTACTAAGCTGATAGAGGCAGCCGATGCTGTCGATGTCATGCAAATTGAGCTGAGCGAAAAGAAAATCGTCGTTGACGAAAAGACGTCCCACGTAGAAGCGATGATCAGCGAAATCCAGGCGAAAAGCGAAGTGGCCAACAAGCAACAAGCAGATGCCAGTGTCAAGCAGCAGTACGTTCAGGAGCAGAGCGAGATCATTTCGAAAGAGAAGGCGATTGCGGACGAGGCGCTCATGGAAGCGCTTCCTGCCGTGGAGGCCGCTGCTGCCGCCCTCGAAAACTTGGACAAGAAAGATCTGGATGAGATCAAGGCGTTCACGAATCCTCCTCAGCTCGTGAAAGATGTTTCCATGCAGGTGAGGTTGCTCTGTCTTGGTTTTACAACGAGATCATACCTGGTCCTCTTTCCTTTGGGTCGCTCTTCATTGGCATGAACTCCAGCTAGCCACCCGGTACCGTGTGGAACAACAAACAACCCTTTTCACGCATGAAACCCCGGAACATCCGCATTCTCAGTGCTGCTTGCTTCGTCCTGGTGGAGAGAAGTACGAAGAGACATGGGGGGATGCTCGAAAAATGTTGTCCAACTCCAAGCTGCTCGACAACCTCAAGAACTACCCGAAGGACAGCATCACGGAAAAAATGATCAAGGGGGTGAAAAAATACTTCAAGAACCCGAATCTGACGATCGAAAACATGAAGAGCGTGAGCAAAGCCGGGCTGGGGTTGCTGACATGGGTGGCAGCCATCACGAAGTACCATGATATTGCCTCAAACGTCGAGCCGCTGCGCTTGAAAGTCCGCGACATGGAAAAAGCCCAGCAACAGGCAACCAAGGATCTATCCGAGTTAATGGAACTCCTCGCGACTCTAAATTCAGAGATTTCCGAGCTGAACGCCAACTATACGAAGGCAAACGACGAGCTTACAGAGCTGCAGCTTCAGGCATCCCTGATGGAGAAGAGGCTCGCCGCTGCATCCAAGCTCATCACGGGGCTAACAGGAGAGCGCACAAGATGGACCGAGGACATCGGAAATTTACACCAGCAAGGCGCTCGTCTCGTCGGCGACTGCCTCTTGGCGTCGTCATTTTTGTCATACCTAGGGGCATTTACAACCGACTATCGCTCAGAACTCCTTTCCAGGCGCTTGTTCGATGATTTATGTGAGCGGAAAGTGCCGCTGATGCAGCCTTTCCGGCTCGAGGCTCTCCTCACCACGGATGCGACGGTGCAGGCGTGGGTGGCGAATGGGCTACCTGCCGACGACCATAGCGTGCAGAACGGGATACTCACAACCAAGGCCTCAAGGTTCCCGTTGTGCATTGATCCTCAACAACAGGCCGTGTCATGGATTAAAAACACCTACGCAAGCAGCAATCTGACGGTGAAGTCATTGAACGAGGCTGATTTTATGAAGCACTTGGAATTGGCGATTCAATTCGGAAATCCTTTCCTCTTTGAAAGTATTGATGAGGACTTGGACCCAATGCTCGACCCGGTGCTGGAGAAAAATATCATTCAAGATGGGGCATCCAAAACCATTGTACTTGGTGACAAAGTGGTGGATTGGGATGATGGATTCCGCTTATTTTTCACCACGAAGCTTGCTAACCCACACTACAGCCCAGAAGTGATGGGAAAGACCATGATCATCAACTACGGGGTCACCATGAATGGGCTGGCGAATCAACTTCTCAATGTTGTGGTTGCTCATGAGAGGCAAGATCTTGAAGAGAGCTATGCTGCACTCGTGTCGGATATGAGCGAGAATGCCCAGCTCATCGTCTCGCTGGAAGACACGCTCCTAAAAGAACTAAGCAGCAGCCAGGGAAATATTTTGGACAACGAGGAGCTTATCCAAACCTTGGAAAATACCAAGAGCAAGGCTGAAGAAATTAAACTCAAGCTGGAAAAGGCCGCATTCACAAAGGAAGAGATCGGTGAAGCGCGGGCTGTTTACAAGCCTGTGGCCAAGCGTGGTTCAATTTTGTACTTTGCAGAGTCCGGCTTGTCGGCCATCATGAGCATGTATGAGATCAGCTTAGACTCCTTCCTTGGGGTTTTCAACTCGGCTCTAGACGATGCGAAGAAAGACGTGGTGCTGGACAGCAGGATCAACAACATGGTGATCGCTGTGACCCGAAACATTTACGACTACACCTGCACCGGGATTTTCGAGCGTCACAAGCTCATGTTTTCTTTTCAAATGACTTGTATGATTCTCGACGGAGATGGCTCTCTCAACCGCACGGAGCTCGACTTCTTCCTGAAAGGTGACGTTTCTCTCGACTTGCCGGCGAAGACAAAGCCAGCGCCATGGCTGGGTAACCAGGGATGGAAAGACTTACTCTTCCTTGCCGGGATAAACGAGGTTTACTCTGTGTTAGTGGAGCACTTCGAAAAAGAAACGACCGAGTGGCGAGCATGGCAAAACTTGGAAGCACCGGAGGACGTCAACTTCCCTGGAGGTTTCGCCGAGACACTGAACCCTCTTCAAAAGCTCTGTGTTACGCGCTGCTTCCGCCCGGATCGCGTGTACAACGCCGTAAAGATTATGGTGATGGACACGATGGGCGACAAGTATGTGCAACCGCCTGTGCTGGACTATGCGAGAATCTTAGCCCAATCAAGCCCTGTGATGCCGATGGTCTTTGTTTTGTCTCCGGGTGCTGACCCTCAGTCCGACATCCAGAGCCTGGGTGAGCAGCGAGGTTTCACCGGGAACAAGTTCAAGTTCATATCGTTAGGCCAAGGCCAGGGCCCGCTTGCAGAGCAAATGATGGAACAAGGGTATCAGAAAGGGCACTGGGTTCTTCTCCAAAATTGTCATTTGCTGGCATCTTGGCTGAAGAAGCTGGAGAAGACGTTGCAGCTCATGAAATCTCCCCACAAAGACTTCCGGCTGTGGTTGACTACGGAGCCAACCGACAAGTTTCCCCTAGGTATTTTGCAGCGTTCTTTAAAGGTAGTGACGGAGCCGCCCGATGGTCTAAAGCTCAATATGCGCTCGACCTACAGCAAGATTGACGAGGCCACCCTTGAAGAGTGCCCGCACTGGGCGTTCCGCCCGTGCCTCTACGTTCTCGCGTTCCTTCATGCTGTGGTGCTGGAGAGGAGAAAGTACGGCAAGATAGGCTGGAACGTGATGTACGACTTCAACGAATCTGACTTGATGATCAGCCGGCGCCTTCTTTCGCTATATCTGACGAAGGCATTTGAAAGCGGTGATGAGCTCCTTCCATGGGGCTCCCTGAAGTACCTCATCGGAGATGCCATGTACGGAGGACGTGTATCCGACGACATGGATCGGCGAGTGTTGTCAACCTACTTACAGGAGTACATGGGAGACTTTTTGTTCGATGATTGCCAGAAGTTCTTCTTCTCCCGTGCGGGTTTCGACTATGAACTTCCGGAGCTTGGCGACCTTAACAACTACGTCGACATGATCGAGACCTTGCCCTTGATGAACTCTCCGGCCGTGTTTGGGCTGCACCCTAACGCGGAAATTGGGTACTACACAAACGCCACAAAGGACATGTGGAGAAACCTCATTAGCTTACAGCCGCGGAAGGCTGGCGGTGATGGTGGCATGTCCAGGGAGGACTATATTACCTCCATTGCAAAGGATATCGAGAGCAAGGTTCCTATTGAGAGTATGGACGTTGGGAGCTACGATCTCATGAACGTAAAGAGGGAGCTTTCGGGACGAAGCGGGGGCCAGGCTCCAACCCCGTGCCAAGTGGTGCTGTTACAAGAGCTAGAACGCTGGAACAACCTTGTTATGAGGATGGCCACATCCCTCCAAGACCTGCGAAGGGCTCTGACGGGCGAGATCGGAATGAGTGACGAGTTGGATAACCTGGGGGATTCACTGTTCAACGGATTTTTACCCAGCACTTGGCGCAAGCTCTGCCCAAACACCCAGAAGCCGTTGGGAAGCTGGATGATGCACTTTTCGGCAAGATATAAGCAGTACGATATTTGGCTGTCAGAGGGAGAACCTGCGGTTATGTGGCTATCCGGGCTGCACATCCCTGAGAGTTACCTGACGGCCTTGGTTCAAACGACGTGTCGCCTCAAGCGATGGCCGTTGGACAAGTCAACGTTGTATACTCAGGTTACCCGCTTCACAGATAGTAGCGAAGCCGAACCTGTAGAATCAGGATGCTATTTGTCTGGTCTGTATCTCGAGGGAGCAGCATGGGATATGGAGGAGTCGTGCCTTGTTCGACAAGAACCGAAAGTTCTCGTAACCGAGCTCCCTATTCTGCAAGTCATTCCGATAGAAGCGTCCAAATTGAAGATTCAGAATACGTTTAGAACCCCGGTTTATGTTACCCAGGAGCGAAGGAATGCTATGGGAGTTGGGCTAGTATTTGAAGCAGACTTGCAAATGTTTGAGCACCCTAGTCACTGCGTGTTGCAAGGAGTTGCATTGTGTTTGAACACAGATACGTGATGTTAACATTAGTAGGGAGTTCATGTTTTTTTTGGCTGAACGAAGTATCTACTATGGGGAGATCGGGGTGGATTTGATGAATCAATGTGGTCCCAGTTTGTTTTTCCCGAGAGTCCGGTTAGTTTTCGAGAAAACAACACAGTGATCTCATTCGATTTTAGAAAAAAACAAAATAATGGGAGGAACTTTTGCATGAGCCTATGAAAAAGGCGGGGAAAGCTCTACATACGTATAAGCCTAGCAACGCACCCTTGGCTACCGCCTCGAAGGCAGTACTCTCCATGTTTTAACACTGCTGCGAACTCGATGCATGCAGAAGGCTTGTTAGCTATTAGATGGTGGCGGACAACTCCCGAACTCGCTTAAGACGACCCTGAAGAACCAAAATCTTCGGAGAAACATAGTTACCCACCAATATTCTCCCAGAGTTCAAATAATAGCAGTTTTTTGGCAGACCCATCACGATATGAAACCCCCGAGACATAATAAAGTTGGCTTACCAAAACTCAGCCCTTCCCTTACCCGTTTTACCCCTTTCTTGCTCAATGAACCGCGAAACAAAGTTGGCAGGAACCGTGTGGGGTATAGATAGAGAGCATCGATAAAAAGCCTCAAGAAATAGCTTGGACATTAGCATCGAGGATATGTATATATTTTGCCACGGTTTCACGCTCAAAATGACAGTTTTTTACCCCGAACACGCCTGAACTTCTCCGAAGCATAACATTTAGTTGTTACCGGCGCTATTTTTATTCTGTTGATACTTTTCTCGTAGATTTCATACCACCACCACTGCCCGTTCTCTCGTGCTTCTGGTCCTCGAGTGTATCAAGGCCAACTATGTGTGTGGTTGTGTGTGCGGTGTTATGCTGTGTTGCGGCACGTAAGTGTTACTGCTTCTTGATTCACATCGCCCGCGCAAGCGGCTGCCAATATGTGAGAACGTGGGCACCTGATCGACCATACTCAAGAAAAAACGACAGCGAGCGGTATCATGCCGGACTACAATAATGCCACCACGCCCGTTCGTTAGTCAGCGCAAGCGTTCAACCTCCCATGCAAGGCGAAGAATGCCCACATTCGACAGTGAGAGACACGCGAAGCTACAAATGACAACAACACGCAGTGACGGGCGACCATCTATTGGCTAAGGCCGCACGCTCGCAAAAAGAAAAGGGTACGCAGCGGATGGACGACCGATACGCCGGAAACAATGTGAAATGGGAGCACGCAGGGAAAACCGTGATAAACAACAACCCCCGAAGCAACGCTGGAAACCGTTACAAGGCGCTTCCAGGGTTGCATTAAAATATGCATAATTTTTTGTTACAACGATCGGCATGATCGTTGAACAAGTCAATGTCACGAAATTCAAAACGTACGCAACCCGCGCAGAAATACCACCAACAACACGATGTCATCAGGAGACCTCCACACAGTACAATCACATGCGACCATCGGACTAGCCAAGGTACCCCCAACACTAGGCAACGCGGTCGACAGTGATCTATCTACCTGCACATGCAAGAGTCAGGCACGCCACAGCCGAATCAGTGCGCGGCATGTTGACTCAATACCTGCCGGAGTCTGTATTTGCGATGCTTCCAGGCAACCACATACGCGCGGACCCACGAAGACTTCCGCACTTCATGCATATGGCTACATATCCGGAACATTCGAGCAGATCTTCAACACTGCTGTGCATCCGCTCCCCGCTGGTTTCAAATTCTACACCAACGGCGGAGGAACACAGCACAAGGCGTGACTCCGTGACACACGCGACCCTGGTACAGCAATATCACTGAACGATCGGCACCGCGGCGGGTAGGTGTGATCCTGTGAATGTGCGAGACGTATCAATGGTACTCTGGTTTTTTCAGCGGGTTTGAACCACGATCATTGGCTATTGTATTCCTCCATTGCCTCTACAACTCCCGGGGATGGGGAGAGGTGTCTCCTGCGAAAATTTGGGCACAAATGCCAATGAAGCACGACCATCTGTTGTAAGGGCACACGCCCAACCGGTGTGACGAAGATTGCCATATTTGTTTTCTTCCTCAAGGCCAGCAAATCGTCCTCAATAGAGCCGTTCTCCTTAAAAACGAGGGTATTAGTTGGCCCCCCGGAAGTTAGGCGGATTTCAAACTTGGGCCCCTGCATCGCGTTGGAACGGCCCGATATGTAGAACCTTTTTTCCCTCCTGGAATGAAAGAAAAAAAGTCGCGCTTGGCGCTCTGCGGCTCATTGAAAATCAATTGGGCTTCTATTGTAATCCTCGGTAACGAGAAACCCGTACCCAACTCTTTGGGTGGTGATGGCATATTCATTTCATCACCGGAATGGTTTGGCTGGAAAAGAAGACTCCAAATATCGTGGTGTATGCACAAGAGACCTCCTCCGGAACGCCAGATCTGGCAGCTTCCCCCGCCGGTGCAGACACATCTCCGTACGCACACTCGGCAAGGCATCAAAGAGGTCTCAGAGTCCGTTCCTAGACGTGTACACCCGACATAGTTGCCTCGCCCGTTTGAACGCTCGAATTTTTTTTATGGACAAACAAACAGCTCACAGCTGCCCTGTCAACCTGAACTCGTAAGAGTTACAGACTAGAGAGCCATATGACCTCCGTTGACCCCCATAGGGCCGCCTCCCCCGGGTGTGAAGGGGAGACTAGGCCCTAAGCTCCCATAGAGGGGGGTCGAAGGGAAGACAAGAGGAGTATGTTATGTCCAGCAGTCAATAGAGGCCCTCCTGATGGAACAACAAGGGGGTACCATCATCATCAAGTACCAGGTTCGAGCCCCAAGCAGAGCTCAGTCCACTTGTGCTCACGGAAATATTCCAAGCTGAAATTCATGAGAACCGCTTGCCCATCGCCATGGCACTCCTCACGAAATTCCAACTAGGCAGCTGTTCCCCGCCTCGGAACCATGCAGAGCCAACGTGGCTCCGCATTTGTGTCAACAAAGTAGCTAATGCACCTCCGAAGTCCGCGAACCCTGTCGTCTCCATCTGCTGTTTTTGTGATGTTGCAGTGTGGGCGTGTGTGTTCCCCGCCGACGCCATGGGTCATAACCCGCTTCTTGTAATAGTGGGCTGCCTCGTTAGTCGTCAAATTCTGTGATGGAAGCTTTTCACCAATGTAGCTAGGTCCTGCAATCCAGGGGAATCTTTCTTCCTGCCGTACGCCAACGGGAAAGGTGTCTTTCTTTCCGATAAGCTCACTCTGACGGTGGTGAAACTTGCGCGTTTCCGGCACTCCCGCTCTCTATTTCAGCTTCGGACACGTTCGTTTCGGACGGGTTTCAACGCGTCCATTGCAATCGGTCGCCCCGGTGGTCTAGGTGGTATCCTCGAAACCTTCTAGAGGTCAGGTCAGGGGTTCGAATCAGGCGGTAGCGAGCTTTTCTTGCAAAGGGAGTTTTTCTCTCGCTTCCGCTCCTGGTCTAGTGGATAGCGCTCGTTCGTGTGTACACAGAGGGAAGAGAGTGCTGAACTCTTCTCGCATTAAAAATCGAAGGTGAAGTACCGCAGGAGGGGAGGGTAGAGAAGGGCTCTTCTGTGTGACCACGGGTTGGTGTAAACGGCACTAGTGCTATGAGCGCTGATTTGAAGTGAAGACAAAAAAAAAAAAAACTACCTAGACTGGATATGCGGAGTTGGAGCCCGATGATGTGTGGAGTGGTGACTGCCCCTCTTGCAACGTTTGCGTCGGTAGACCTAACACCATAAGGTGCCGCGAATACGGTGTCGGATGTTTCAGCCCATGCAAATGCTTGGTCGCTGCTCGGCGTGAATTCTCTGGACTCCAACGCCTCGGTTGTGATTCCGGTAAGGGTTGTGATTCCGGTGATCTCGGGCTGCAGACACGCCTGAAATTAGGCTGGGCCCAGAACCCGAATTCTCCTCCCGTGGCCTTGCGGGGATGGTCGATTCACCTTCTTGGTGACGGCAAACAGAGTGTATTATTTCAGAGGAGTCTCTCTCTCTTTCTCTCCATGTATCTCTCTCTCTCTCCTGCCAACCTGCCAACCAGACAGATAGAAACCCTAATCTACCAAATATTTGACATACAGATATCCAAAGACCTGCTGCCCACCGTGAAAAGTGTTACCCAGGTGCGCAGCGTTCACAATTGCCCCAAAGCTGATAACTACCGGAGTAAACAATAATGAGCATGATGTCAGATAGGCACCTGTTTATACTCAAGAAAAACGATAACCGTGTTCGTGAATGACAAACACCCAGACACGGCCATATCAGGCCGGACTAATGCCACTCCACTTCGTTAGTCAACGCAAGCGTTCAACCTCCCATACAACGCGTAGAATGCCCGCAATCAACAGTGAAAGGCACGCGACGCTACAAATGACTACAACACGCAAGTGGCACACGACCACACTAACCTGGCTAAGGCCGCACGTTCGTAAAAGAAAAAAACTTACTCATTTGACGGACGACCAACACACCGCAAACAACGTGAAATGGGCATGTTTTCCACACGCAGGGAAAACGACGAAGAAAGCAACAAACCCCAGGCAACGCTAATCCCCAAGCAACGCTGAAAACCATTACAAGGCGCTTCCAGGGTGGCGTTGAAATACCTCGGAAGACAAACATACACGTGGCGACGACCTACACGATCATCGAACAAGCCAACGTCATGAAAAGTAACACGTACGCAACCTGCGAAGAAATGCCGCCAACACGATGTCAGACGGCGTCCTCCATGCAGTTCAACCACATGCAACCATCGGACCAGCCAAGGTGCCCTATACTCCTACCAATACATGCTAGAGTCAGGCATGCCATAACCAAATCACTGCTCGGCATGCTGAACAATGCAAAATGAAGTAGTCAGCGAAGAAATGCAATCAATACTCGACGAGATAGCCCTCACTCAACTAAAACAAATGAAGCACAAATGCGAAGGAAGTCAGCGAAGGAATGCCACCAATACGCAAACACGGCGGCCCTCGCTCAACTCATAAGTTACAAGA